GGGGGGGGTGCTTACAAAAATTTTGCCGATATATAGTATACTATAGAAAACATAGTTACTTTATGCTTGTGCCCCCCTTAATAAAACGTCTGATGACTTGGGGGGGGGGTGTCAAGGAATTTTTGCTTGGTAATCCCCCCGGGAAAAAACTGAAAATTTTTTTGCCCCATGGTCACCTCATCTGAAATTGCTTCCTAAGGGCCCGAAGCCTATCAACGAATGGAAGCCTATGAAAAACATTAATATTCCAAGTAACAAGTCAATATACAATTTTTACAGTATTTCGAATCATCCACTTAATGATTTCAAGATTTTTGGCTCCATTAGACACTAGTATACACGGATTGCACTTTTGGTTATAAACACGCCATACACAAATGCACAGGGCTGATTCTTTGATTTTTTTTTAAATATAACAAGTAAATCAAGTCCAAAAAAATAGCTGTTAAATTATGTCTTTTTAATGCACTTTGGAAACTTGGTGCTATTTCCTGGATGCAAAAATGTTTTTTTTTATAAGGAGATGAAAATTCTAATGTAGTTTTACTATAGAAATATGGAAAAAGTTTAAAGATTTACAATATTAGCTATCCGTATAAAGCACTGAAATTTTTTTTAACTAAACTCAGGTCTGTAGGAACCGGGAGCCCCCCCCCCCCTCTCCCCCTAAATAATGTTGCCTGCCTATACTCTACTGCAGAAAACAAAGCTAATTCACACTTGTGTTACCTCATAATTAACGTCTGATGACCGTTTCTTCGATTGTCAAGAATTTCTGATAGATTGTGCCCCCCCCCGTCACATTGCTTCCTACCGGCCTGTAAGTAAACACATTTCAAGAAAATTGGTGTAGTTTTATCATTTAATTCGAAAAGGAAACCGTGTCAAGACCTTCGGACATGGTTTTTTTTTTTCTTCTCGTGGCTCCGATTCAAATTTCTGTTGAGAATGGTTCCAAACCACAGCTCATTTGTCGATCATCCGTTATCGATAGCTTTCGTATCACATGAGAAATTTAAAATAAATTCACAAATAAATCAAGTCCAATGTACGCCTTTTTCGTTACTTTTTTAAAGACGTTTGAACAAGCTGATAACCATTCAATGGAAGATATAACACCAAATATTAACAATTTGCCAAAGCTCTATTGAAGTCAAACAGAACACCCAGTCGATGCAGACAAAAACCTCATTTGTGTACATTTGATAGAAATATAAATATCTTTGATTTCTATATCTGTATAAAAGGAAAATCAGCAGCAGAGAAAACGAGAAAAGGGGTATAATGTGTACGAAGGACCACCATATTAGTGTTCTGCAATTTGGTGCCAGGTGAAAAAGATTTCAGAGCATTGCATCACATATGGCACCATATGCATCTCTGAGAGAGAGAGAGAGAGAAAGAATCTCAAAAACGACAAGAACGTTGATTACTTTTTTCAATCGTCTGCATCAACAGAATCCTCTTTCAGTGAACGACCATATAAATCAACCGTCCTTGAAGAGATAAATCAGTGCATGTGCACCTGGTCCTTCAAACATAAAATTCAATGGCATTCAATTACATCTAGTCACAAAGATGATTCTGTTATGGCAGAATCGCCACTTAAATCCAAATTACGACGTCACAGTTTAGCAAAAATAAAATACCTTTCTTGATAAACAATGATGAAGTACAACAATCTATGCCTTTCAAAATGATCTAGGTCGATATATCACCTGTTACAAATACCTGCTTGTTTGATTGATTTACGTGGAATATGAAGAAGGACAACCCTTTCATAACTGCACATCAGCTTTCCAGTTAAAATATAAAGTCATTGAGGTTCACAAATCCCCTCTCACTCATTTAAAATGTTGTTTCAACTCTTATGCTTTTTCGAGAAAAAAAAATGCATTTATTAGTAAAATTCAAACAATTATATCATAGCCTGTGAGGCAAGTTAAACAAAAGACATTTCAACTTGACAAACCTATAAAAGAAATAATAGACATTTACGTCATTAAGAGTTACCTCTCTTATCAGAGTATCATTGTACCTTAATTTCCATGAAAATTAACAAATAATGTTGCATATTCTGCAACACTAAGTTTATAATAGAAAATGCAGCAAGTTTCCACTCTAGAGATTTTTTTTGAAAGTTGAGGCAAAGCAACTTGAAACACTAAGTAGTTGTTTCTTAACAATAAGGTGTAGTCCGATCCTCAGATTATGAAAAGCAGGAATTGAGTAATTGAAAATGCTCACAAAAATGTCTGAATTCTCAAAGTAATGAGTATCTACCCGTGGTATTTCTTCAAATTTCTTCAAAATAGTTAAGCATTTTAGACAGGGAAATTAGAGTTCAAATTATATTATTTTCATATCAATGAAATGGATTGAACAGCGGACATAAATGCCTATGATCGGTCTCTCCATAGCAGGGCCCTATAATTGGCGACCAATTTAGTCGCCATGGCACCTAAAATTTTTGATTGGCGCCTAAAATTTTTCCATAAGTCGTCAAATTTGCGACCATTTTAAAATGACTTATCGATCGTCGAATTCTAGAAATTTTAACATTTTTAACAATTTTTCTGAAAAAGCTAAAAGAAATTTAAAAGAAAATGAAATTAATTTTAGCAATGGACGTTTTTTCTTAGTCACATCATGGGTCCCTATATTGATTACTATTAACTTTTAAAGTTGGCGCCTTAAAAAAAATGCCTGGCGACCAAAAATTTGCATTGGCGACTAAATTTTTTTGATAAGGCGCCAGCTGGCTCCTAAATTTTAGAGGCCACTTAGAGACCTGCATAGGTCAAGGTACAATTACAAATACACTGTACAGGGAAATTGTCATATTTCAAACATATTCAAGAAGCGTACATAAAAGCACTCGCTACGCATTTTCCAAATGAAAATTGATCAAACAATATATTTCAGGGAAAAAAATTGTAGGTGTCTTGGCATTTGGAGAAAATTAAATATATATACTTCTAAAACGGTACTTTACTTCATTCACTTAAATTGCTATATAATACATAATGTAAAAAGCTAGACATCACAGATCACATTTAATTTAGTATCATGCTAATAAACATTGATATCCAAGGCTTAATTCAAAGAAATTCTATTTCTCTAAAAATGTATTTATTTTTGTACTTTTAGGGGGTACAAGTGTCATCTTTTTACAAGTCTGTTTTCAAGGCATCAAAGAACCCTGGATGGTATCGAGATACATGAAATGAAAATTGTTGCACAAAAAGATTTCAAATATGTAATATGTTTAAATTAAATAATAATTTTAAGAGTCATCATTCCTAGCTGAGAAGCAGATATCCTTAAAAGGTACTTTTTCATGTTTACATTTACTCCATGGGAATAACTAGTGTTCGAACACATGTCATCTGCTTTGTAGCTTCATTGAAGATGAAGATCTCCAAAACGTCCCAAAACTTAGAACTACCGAGCCGTAAAGATTGATTTTCAAACTGAGAATATGAAACAATGAATATTCCGAAGTGTCATCGTTCTATACTTGCTCAATTTAGATGTGGTGTGTTACCTATAAGAATAGAAACAGGACGGTATAAGGGGGGGGGGGGGAGGCTTTATCTGATAGACTCTGTACTCTATGTTCTTCAAATAGTGTAGAAGATGAATGCCACTTTTTGCTTCATTGTACATCATATTCAAATTTTAGAGCAATCTTTTTTACCAGTATTGGATTTAAACCAACTTCATTTGATATCAATATGTCAGATTTAGACAAAACCAAATTTCTTTTAGTAAATTTCCCAAGACAAATCGGAAAATTCATAAACTCAGCATATACTTACAGACGGTCTATCATTTATAATAAACGCAAAATATCACAGTATTCTTATTGAATGTTATATCGTTAAAAGTGACATATAGGCCCGATGGGCCGGGTGTTTAAATTCCTATTATATGTATGTTTGTTGGCAGTTGTTGTAATTGTACATAACACATGTCACTATAATAAACCATTTACTTACTTACTAAAGATGTAAATAAATCTAAGAGTAGTCAGCAATTTATTTACTGCTAGTATAATAGTTCATGCATTTTCAAGCAAAGAAAAAAAGCATCCATGGATAATATGACTGTGATAGAATCTGACAATCAAAGAAAATATGGTTCCCCAACCCTCAAATGAATAATTAAATTGGAATTATTAGAAATAATTATTTTATCATTTTATCAAAACATGTTCCCCATAATCCTCCGAGATTTCAGTCTGTCTTTGCTGCAATTGTCAGTCTACATGATCCATTGGGGAATACCAATCCCGATGTATACAAGTTTGTGTGGTAAATGAGTATCATAGTTTCAAAGTACAGTATCATGAGCTCATAAACATGTATAAATGCTTATTATCAAAATCTTGCCTCTCAAAATTCAAAAGTCATAAGTTTTTTTTTATAATTTTAAACTGCCTGGGGTCTTTTTTGCAAAGTAGGTCAAAGATCAAGTGGATTGTAATGCTGGTATTTTTCATATTATGACAAACAGTGCACATGCTAAATAGCATAGACTTGCCTCCCAAATGTCAAAAATATGCAATGTATCAGCACTATAATCTATTTCGAAAAGTAGATCAAAGGTCAAGGGTCATGAGGTTGGTAACCATGGTAATTAACAAAAGCCATAGTGCCAATCAATATATGTTTGCAAAATATCAAACCCATACCTCTTACAGTTCTCAAGATAGAGATGCAAGGTGTGACAGACAGACATACACCAGATAAAGTGATCCCTTAGTGTCGCTCTGCCATGCAGGCAACATAAAAAGCTACAGAAGAGTGATAACCAAGTCTCCAACCAAGAACTCTGGGCATTTAGTTTGTGTTATTCACATGATTAGAGACCCATTTACAAATCAAGCATTTAAACATGAAAATATTACCCCCTTCCTAAAAATAGACACATACAAGCCAAGCCATGTACAACTGATCTGTTGTGTAGTCTTCTATTACCAATGACACAAAACAAAATTCATGTAATATTTAATCACAGTTAATAAAAGATTATGGCTACAATTCATAACAAATAATAACAATGCTAAGAAGGCAGTAACATCAAGGCCTCTCAAGTCTGAGAAAATGCTTATGTAAAATAAATAACAAAGCAATCTAGATATTATTCTCTACTTCAATCCAAAATGGAACATTGCAAGGAAAGAAATATACATCAATATCTTACATAAAGAATTCCAAAACCCTGCACTGTTTGTGATTTTCTCTTGGTCCTTTCTATTATATTCTGTTTCTCAATAAAAGATAATTCATATTTCATGTGTATAACTGATTTGCAATACTGTAAATATTCCATCAACCTCCTTTTCACAAGTTTATAATGTAAAATGTAAGATTATGTCTTGATTTGAACACAGTGTAAAATTATTGTTTTGAACTACATGTATAACAATACAACTGAATTTACTGAAACCAGTACTTGCTGTTGCATTAAAGGCTGTTGAATATTACATTTGGTAAAATTCAGGAAGTATTCAAATTTTCATGGTTTGATCAAACAGCAAAGATAACAGAGTTCAAATATCATGTGACAGGAAGTGGAATTCTGGGATGCATCACCCACTAGAGTCTGTTTTCCTCAGTAGAAGTGAACTGTCTACATTTCCAGAAATGTGGGCTGCAAGGTCTTGGAATTTTACTGCATAATCAATACTATTCTCATTCATAACACTCTGTAAAGTTCCATCAACCTGAAACAGACATGGAAGAAATAAACAAGAGGCCCAAGGGCCTTAACGGTCACCTGAGTACAACAATTTAGAGGATCCACAAACTGATAAATGAAGCTTTGTTGCCCAAAAGCAAGAAAAATAGTATGATATACATCAACAAAATAATTGGTTTAGCATCTATCTGTCCCCCATTTATCACTATTACCAAACTATTAACAAACTGTCTATTTTTATCCCATATATTTATAACTTCTCACATTGGCCTCTCTTGGCCTTTGAACTGTTGAAGAACAATTAAAAAAGATGTTCTTTTTGTCTCAATTTTATTCATCTATTATTTCCAAGTCTACCTGATCATTAAAACTATGAAAGTACTTTTTGTATTATACAATAAATATTCTTGCATAATTCTCTTATTCTATCAAGCATTCAAATACATTATTTACTGTGATTTATTATCAAAGGTGAATGGCAAAGGGGAATAACTTTGCTCAGCAGAATATAAGTTAATAGAGCACTGGTCAGGACCAGAACACTTGATTAAATGGTCCAGGTGTTTAAAATTTTGGTAAAAATACCCTTACATATTAACATTTTTCTCTGTTTGCCTTGAATATGCCAAGAGGCATAGAAAATTTTCAAAGAAATGCATTTTCACTATATTATTAAATAAATAAAGCCCCATCCTTACACCAGAACATCTGACCCATTGGCCATATTAAGCTCACAATTCTGGAATAAGCACCCTTGCTCATCATAACTATACACTTCTTTCTTTGCTTTGTAACCAGTAGTAGAAAAAAAATATTTTGAAAGAAATTATGCATTTTCACTATATAATCAATAGAGCCCCCCCCCCCCTTCACCAGAACCCCTGACCCTGGGGCCATGAATTTCACACATTTGGAAGAGGCATTCTTCCTTATCATAACCATGCACTTTCTTTGTTTGAAAAATACCCAGGAGCAGAGAAGAAAATTTTGAAAGAATTTATGCATTTTCCCTATATAATCAATAGAACCCCACCCTAACACCAGAACCCCTGATCCTGGGGCCATGAAATTCACAATTTTGGAAGAGGCAACCATGCTCGTCGTAACTATGCACTAAGTTAATTTAAAACCCAAGAGCAGAGAAGAAGATTTTCAAAGAATTTATGCATTTTCACTATATAATCAATAGAGCCCCGCCCTAACACCAGAACCCCTGACCATGGGGTCATGAAATTCACAATTTTGGAAGAGACACTCTTGCTCATCATAACTATGTACTTACTTAGTTTTTTTAATACCCAGGAGCAGAGAAGAAGATTTTCAAAAAATTAATGCACTTTCACTATATAATCAATAGAGCCCCACCCTAACACCAGAACCCCTGATCCTGGGGCCATGAAATTCACAATTTTGGAAGAGGCAACCATGCTCGTCGTATCTATGCACTAAGTTAGTTTATTTAAAATCCAAGAGCAGAGAAGAAGATTTTCAAAGAATTTATGCATTTTCACTATATAATCAATAGAGCCCCACCCTAACACCAGAACCCCTGACCATGGGGCCATGAAATTCACAATTCTGGAAGAGACACTCTTGCTCATCATAACTATGTACTTACTTAGTTTATTAAATACCCAGGAGCAGAGAAGAAGATTTTCAAAGAATTAATGCATTTTCACTATATTATCAATAGAGCCCCGCCCTAATACCGGAACCCCTGACCATGGGGCCATGAAATTCACAATTCTGGAAGAGACACTCTTGCTCATCACAACTATGTACTTACTTAGTTTATTTAATACCCAGGAGCAGAGAAGAAGATTTTCAAAGAATTAATGCATTTTCACTACATGTATATAATTAATAGAGCCCCTCCCTTACACCAGAACCCCTGACCCTGGGACCATGAAATTCACAATTTTGGAAGAGGCACTCTTGCTCATCATAACTATGTACTTACTTAGTTTATTTAATTCCTAGGAGCAGAGAAGAAGATTTTCAAAGAAATAATGCACTTTAACTATATGATCTATATAGCCTGCCCTAGCACCAGAACCCCTGACCCTGGGGCCATGAATTTCACAATTTTGGTAGAGGGCTCAATGCTTATTACAATTGTGCCAACAGTTTGACTGCTTGATGTCCAGGAGTAAAGAAGAAGGTTTTTAAAGATTGCATTAATTTTGGTGGTTTTAGCCCCACCCCTCAGGCCCCAGGGGAGCAGGGACCATGAAATTCACAATTTTGTTCCCCTTCACCCATAGATGCTATATGCCAAATTTGGCTGAAATTGGTTGAGCGGTTTCAGAGAAGAAGCTGAAAATGTTCAAATGTTACCACACGACGGACGACTGACGGACGCTACAGACGAAAACAGATAGCAATAGGTCACCTGAGTGACTCAGGTGACCTAAAGATAAATAATACAAAATGTCAATATTAAAATCAGAACAAAACAAATTGAATTATGTCAAAAATATGTAAAAATGTATAAATTGGAATGCTTCAAAAGGAGGTATAGTTTTTTTTAATAGTAAACTGATTGTGCTGTAAAAAAAAAAATTAAAATAAACACTTAAATATGTTTTCCAACATTTGGAACTAAAGCTCTTGACTTCTATAATCTGAGCAATCACTAACAACTTACATCTAATCGGCCCATGATGGAGTCCCGTGAACTCTCGCTAAACAGTGGAGTGGTTTGTATGACAGGATTAGAGGCGGCCGTGACATGGTAAGTATGTGGGGGCTTCAGAGGAGAGTCAGAAAGGAGATTCATGAATGTTAGATCACCTCCATCCTACAAAAACAGCAGATTTTACAGTATACATTCATTATGTCAAAAACTTGTACACAAGGAAGTCACTGGGACTTCTAACTTCACTTCCCTATAACTAAGATCCACATGAGAATATAGTACTAAGTCTTCTATAAGATTCATAAAAGTTTCTTCATTATTGTGTAACACAGTTTTACTGTAACTATATACATGCCACGAGATACAAGTTCATGATTGTACAATAGAACCATGCTCCCTGGACTTTTTGGGGGAAATTCATCAGAAAATTACTGAGATGAATTCATTAACTATTTCTTACCACGCCTGTATTCAGCCATGGATTGGTGGGGCTGCCTGGAGGAGACGAGTATTTACTGGGATTCTTTTTGGGTGGTGTATTTAAAATATCACGATTCTGAGGATCTAATAGTGCTGAAAAAGATTATAGCAAAGTCTGTGAAAGAAAGTACAATCATCCTTTTAATTAATGATAACAAAAGTCTCCTTGTTTAAGCTCAATAAATTCAATGAACTATTTACCCGATAAGTAATAAGAATTGTGATCCATAAGCATATTGAACCTACTTGAAAATGTTGTATTAGAATTCCCAAGTGCTAGGTCTATCAGTTTATCAGTATTTTCTGAACCTACAAAACACAAAAATCAACTTAAGACTGTAAGGCCAGATTTCAATTTCATAAAATGAAATGTCGATTGCTAGCATAAGTCCTTCATTACCTGCTCATTAACAGAAGTATTGAGATTGTATCATTGTCATAACTTTATATTACATCTTCTATACATAAATGCATGGGCTTTCAAATAAGGTTTGATCAATAGACAATTTTTTCCCAAATTTTCTGCTTTGATAGGAACCCTCAAGATCAGCTAGTATATTGACATGGCAGCAAATTCAAATCTAACATTAACATTATGAAAGTGGTCACCACTTCCAAAAGGCATCCATCTTTATTTGTGATTTTGGACTGCTTGTCGTAAATAATGTAATTTTGTAGTACATGTATATGTTCAGATTCCAATTACATGTTACACTCAGAAAATCTTGGGAAATAATGAAAACTTCCTCTTGGGCTTGACAACAAATTGCTGAAATTTACACTATCAATTCTCTTAGATATTGAAAATGGTGTCATGTGTGTTTCTTTCAAATTGTATGTTTCCAATCTGGTCAAAACTGCTTTGGAAATGATAAAACAAATGTTAAATGAATTTCTTTGAAAACAATAAATTTTTTTATATCATATAAAATGTTGTGGAAGTGAGGATTAAGCATAGCTCTGCAGTTCTAATAAAGATTTAAGGATTTTTTTTTTCAAGTTATATTCTAATGCTAATTTGGTTTTTGTGTTGTGACCACTCCTACCCTGAGGTCATGATTTAAACAAACATGATTCAGGACCACCTGGAAATTCTTGCATATGAATTTGATTAGTTATGGCCCTGGTGTTCTTTGAAGAGATTTTTAAAAAAAAAATATTCTTCTTATACATTCCCATTTTAAACTTTGTAAACCCCTGTTGTGGCTTCTCCCTAACCCTGGGAGCCATGATTTGAACAACTTTGAATCATGAGGATGCTTTAATATTTTAACTACTTAGCATGGTCCTACTGTTCTTGAGAAGAATTATATATATTTTTTGTAATTTATTCCCATGTAAAACTTTGATCTCCTATTGTCTGACCATACCCATTAAGGCCAAGATTTGAAACAAGAGGCCCATGGGCCACATCGCTCACCTGAGCATTTGGGTAGGAGTTCAGTATTTTATAAGTGGTATCGACCTACCCTTAGTTAGTGTAGATTCAAGTTTTTTCATATCACACCCCTCCTCCCCCCCCCCCCCCCCAAAGTTAAAAATGTGAAAAGTTTACACTCAACCAAGGACAGACACTCTTCCATCAGAAAAGCTCACTTGAGCCTGAATTAAAAATGAACTAAAAACTACATACTGGCAGCTGGTAAGTTAGAGAGAGACATGTCCAGGAGAGCCGACATGTTTGGTGGGGACAAAGTATGGCGGGGGACTGTTTCCTCCTTCTTTGAGGCACTGTCTGACAATGTAGTAGCCGAGGAACTCCGGGAAAGATCTATGTCAACACCACTCAGCAACTGTTAATATTCAAATACAGCATGAATATGTTTCACATTTTGATATATTTTACAAAAATTACAGAACTCTTAAGATATCTGGCTTTTATAAATTGCTTGAGAAATTAAAATGGATAATACAACTACCTTATACAAAATCAACATGAGAAATAGGGATAAGTTTTATACATGCCCAAAGCCTGAAATAAAATTCAGAAGAATGGAGATGACTTTCAATACCAACAATCCACCACTTACCTGACTCATGTTATTGTTTACAGAAACAATTTGGGGATCAACCTGTGGGGACTGGGGTCGGACATTAAGCTGCACTGGAGTACCTCTAGGGATACCTGTTAAATTTACAACACAGCTGTTATTTCACACTCATGAAAGTAAATTTACATTTCACTGAATTAACATATAATGTAGAAGCACAAATTTTCGTGGGGAGAAAATTTCATTGATTTGTCATCTAAAAGGTTTCATGGGCATTAAATTTCATTGTTTCGAAAGTCACCCAATATGTAATCATGTAAAAATTTCCAATGGGATTTTATTTTGTTGATAATTGTTATTAACAAAATAAATGAAATTTAATCCCCAATGAATATTCGTGCTTTTACAATAGGTAAATGAAGTTCATGAAATTTCATCTGTAATTTTTTAACAAATAAATGATATATATGTTAAGATCATGTTGTAATTACTTACACTTTTTCATATTTTTTTTAAATAATATTTACAAAATTACTTACAAAAAATTATAAATTCTTTGCCTAGTAAGAATAAAGCTACAGAAAATCAAATGATTCTAGAGTGACACAACCAAAGTTTGCTCATTTGAGGTGTTTATGAAAAATATTAGTTGGTCCTAATCCATTCTTCTGTAAAGCCACAATTGGGAATTTCTTTTTACTAATAATTAACACTTTGTTGTACGTTTCATAAATTCTGCAAAATAAATATGAAGTCTCATAGGAGAACTGAAGATAACTTGCCATTATGATTTTTTTTTTCAATTTTACCTGTTGTTGTATTCATTCTAGGTTGTAGTCTAACTCCATTGTTTGGTAAGCTGACCAGACCTACTGAGGGACAGACGGGGACAGTGAGAGACTGCTGACTCACTGAGGGACGCACTACCACCATAGGCTGCTTGGGTAAGATATTGCGCTGTATAGATAGTTGCTTCCGATTTGTTCGAATCTTTTTCATTCCTCTCTGTGGCTGTATATGATAAAGATATTTCTTGATTATATTACAATTGTTCGAACAAAATCAATCAATTCTTTTAGATGCATTTTAAATCATCTTGTGTAGGTATTTACATGTACATAAACATTGTTTGTTATTTAAAGTTATTATACTTTCATGTTAAATACTAAAATCTGATTGGTTTAGAGGCAATTAACAATCCGTAATGTTACCCTCAGCATTAGCAACACACTTGACAACGGGTAACATTACGAAAATATCACATGCGTTCAAATGATGCGCGTACAGTTCACCGTAGAATTCTCAAAACGTCGGTTGTGCGTTTGAAAGAAGTTGAATAAACGACGTCAATAAAAGCTTGCGTCCGATGTAGCTTACTTGAAAACAACAAACGACAGACAAAACATCCTTGCGAGTGCAAACTTTAGATGATAAAGGACTTTTTGAGTAGCAAACAAACAAAAAAGAGGTTGGTAAATCTTTTCCGAAGCTTTCTTATTGAAAAAATAGAAGTGGGGAGTGTGAAAGCTTTCTAAGTGTGAACTTAACGACGATCTCCGAATTTTTTGTATGATATGCGAAATCAATAAGACATTCAGTATAATAAAATAAATAGTGCACGTTTTTGAGGGTAACAGTTGAAATTGACACCCCTCGGAAAACCATTGTCAACCTCCGCTGACGCGTCGGTTGACAATGGTTTTCCTTGGGGTGTCAATTTCAACTGTTACCCTCAAAAACGTGCACTATTTATATATTGCATAACGAGTCAAAACCAGGTGTTTCTTTTAAGAAAAGTGTATCACAAAACAAAAGATTTCTATGAAATGTGAATATAGCGAAGTTTTGACAACTCAACTGCACTGTAAAGCAAGAAAAAAAACTGCAAAATATAAGTGCCGGAAAAACAAATGTTGTATCTATCACTTCGTGTTTATCGTCAATGTCAACAGTGTCAAGGTAACGTGTCCTTTATTTTTAGCGTGAAACTTGTAAACAACATTGAACTGGGGCAAGCAGAAGTAAGGAATAAGTTATGATCATCTTTTTTGAAGATTGTATCACAATTCTCAGTCATCCGACATTTATATCTATGGAATTGAAAGCATGGAAAATTCTTCAACTTTCCGGCGTTATATGTACAATAAAGAGGAAGAAGTGAAGCAATATTTTTGTGATGGGTTATACAAAGATTTTTTTACTTTTATTTTTCTCCATTAAATTAGATTTTATAGGTTCTGAAACCCGTAATTTTCTGAAACCTAATATCTTCAAGAACTGAGCAAAATTTGCATGTGTCATGCAAAAATTCTACTGTTGTCAATTTTCCCGTTTGTCCGTCACAGTGTCACTTTAAAAATAAAATAAATTGATTAAGAATAAATTTAATAGCTTTAGAGGAATATCTTATGGTTTAATTAACCTTGAGGGGTAAAGATGTTATTTAAAGCAAAATCTTATTATAAAGGGGGTTATTTCCAAATGATTCTGACTCTTTCTTAAATATACACAGACCATGAATATCAGCCAGGATATTTCAGGGACTACAGCATTTCACATTATAATACAGGGGTCCAATGTTCCATTCTCATCCCAGTCATAAATTTTTCCTTCCCTGTTAAGTTTGGTGCCCTTGACTACCCCTGGACTTGCAGGTGAAAGTCCTATCAAGGACTAAAGAACCTGGGTTGTGTGACTTTGAGGGCAAATACAATTTAAGGAGGGGGAAATGTAGTGGCTTGGACTGTAAGCCTGGATATAGCTTAGAAAACTTGACTAGTAATGCAGGGGTCCCTGGTTCAATTCTTGATCCAGCCATCAATATTTCTCTCTGTTTCTGTTAAAATCCAATCATAAATAATCTAGAAGCTCCACCATGTACTTAAAATTCAAACAAGTTCCAGTTCAAAATGTTACTGCAGAAATTCTAACTTTTCAAGGCCTCTCCAGCTTTTATATAATTCACTGCAAATTTTTCTATGTTTATGCTTTATCCCCTCCCCTCAAACTGAGATACACTGTACATGTAATAAGTACTTTAGAAATAATTATATCCTGTAATATTTTATGCGACTTAAAGGGAGGAAGTTTGTGGTATTGACTTGGTTTGGTTTGTATTTACAGGGAGGGAGTTTGTGGTATTGGCTTGGTTTGGTTTGTATTTACAGGGAGGAAGTTTGTGGTATTGACTTGGTTTGGTTTGTATTTACAGGGAGGAAGTTTGTGGTATTGACTTGGTTTATACATGTACTTACAAAGTGACTTGGTTTGTATTTACAGGGGCAAGTTTGTGGTATTGACTTGGTTTGGTTAGTACTTGCTGGGAGGGACTTAATGGTATTGACTTGGTTTGTGCTTAGAGGGAGGAAGTTTGTGGTATTGACTTGTTTTGTACTTACAGGGAGGAAATTTGTGGTATTGACTTGGTTTGGTTTGCTTGTTGACGGTACACTCAGGTTTTTTTGTAAGAAAGCGGGACTGTACACTGGGACTCGGAAAACTGCATCTTTTGAATCAGAGTTCTGTAATCAAAAATTAAATTCATATTAATTTTACAGTTTTATTTCGAATCTTAACTCTTGTGTGTAAATATTTAATGTAAATGAGCTATTTTTATTTTCAACATGAAAAATTCTCCAGAAGGGAAATAAAGTCTAAAAGAAAATAATAAAGCTTTTCAGTCTCTCTGTCTGTGATGAGGAGACACATAGAAGCCTATCAATGTTTACTTACATCTACTTTTTTATTGACTGGGTGTGATACACTGGTCTGAGTACTTGCATCACTAAAGCCTTCTCCATATTTTGAGGACAGGGGGTATCTGCTTTTCTGCCCTCGGGAATTGCCAACTCTAGATTTGTTTTTCACCATTCCACATGCATGGCACGGAGAATTTGAACTATTAGGACTCTGCAACAGTATTTCATTAAAAGTTCTGATTACTAATAAATTTTGGCTTAATATAAAATAAAGTACGAGTTCATTAATGCAAGAACTTAAGAAGTGGACCTGGAAAATTTACAGTCAAACATGTCATAGCTATTATCTTTATTTAATGACTTCCAGTCAGATGTGATCGTTAAATTTCCTCCAGAAAATTTTCCATTATATTCTGAATTCAGTGAATCCCTGTTTAATACAACATGCAACCATCATTTCCCAAATTCCTAAAACTACATTACAACCTGAATTAAATGATTTTCAGCCCTTGATTACAAAAGTAATTAAAATACTTTGGTTTGCCCCTTTTGCCCAATAAGCAGAAAGAGATGTTTGCAAAAACATACTAATTAATTAATGGAATATTTCACATTTATGATTTAGTATCAGAGAAAAATGTACTAAAAAAAGAAAAATATTAAAAGTAACTTAAGATTAACTTTGAAATAGTTTCATCAAGAAGCTTATAAAATTTGTGTATGTTGTGCATAAAAAAATCCTTGCATTGTATTTAATATAGTTTTTTTCCTCTTTCTCTCTTTTGGGCCTAATCAATTTACCCTTCAAGCAAATAAGAATTAAAAAAAAAAATCCTACAAACAAATATTTACAGTAAAACATGTTTATAGCGAAGTGCCACGGAGGGACAATTTTGCTTCATTATATCCTTTAAGTATTCAATAGGTTTATAAAGTCAAGGGGAATGAAAATCACTTCGCTATAAGTGTCAATTCATTATAAGCATGTTCGCTATAAGCGTGTTTTACTGTATTGAATATATTTATCCAGAAGAGTGAAAATGATAAGAAAACTATGATGAAGGATGGGGAACAGGAAAACAACTAGATGTATTACAATTAGGGATGTCAACGAATAGTCGACTATTCGACCATCAGTCGAATGGACCGACGATCGAATAACAAAACAACATTCGAATAGAGGAGTGAAAACGAGATGGAATTCTCATTTCAAAATTGAGAAAAATGTAGAAAGTACAGTACTGTACTTTTAAATTCTCCACTACCGCTTGAATAATTTGTCAATTACTCTCTGTGTTGTTTTTGCAATAAATTATACATCACTATTCTGGACTTTGTTTGTAAATTTATTAACTGGACTTAATAGATCTCATACCATGTACCAATTATATCTTGTTATTTCAAGAATATTCAAATGCAGGGAACACACCATAGCCGTGACATGTTTTGACCCTTCGATAATTAATAAAACAATTCGCTTACTTTGTAAGAACATTTTGATAAGCATCAACAATTGAACAAGCAGTATTTAACTGTTTAACAATATCACAGACACCTGACGTGTTTATAGTATGTGTTAACCCCCCCCCCCCATTTATTTTTATAAGCTTTAAAAAAATATTTTTTTTACTAAAATAAAAATTGATTTATGACTGTGATTGACGGGTAAATCAAACATCATGGAGAAAATAATAAATTTATTTCCTATAAACACGCTACCCACACGTTAGGTGCCTGTGAACATTTGTGTGCAACAAAGGCATTTGATGTTACTTTTTTGCATAAATATAGGAAAATGGTTTTTGTATTATAAATACGTCATGTACAAGTGAAGTTTGAAATATGATTTTATTTTCAGAAAATGTTCCGAATATTCGATTATTGTTCGAATAATGCTATCGAGTAGTCGACTAAGGAAAATAAATATTTTGACATCCCTAATTACAATATTTAGCATGTACTTCCAAAATTGCTATGATTCCCTGTTTTAAGTGACTACCTGTCATATGTGACCATTTTAGAATTTTCCTTCATAGGTCGCTTAATATTTGACTGCATCACATTGTAAAAAATTGTGCATGCTTAGACACATCAGTGGATGTGTCCATGTTTTAGAGAATATGTGGGCATTTTTGAAAAAATCTGAGATCTTAAATGTTGGGATCTACGGCAAATGTATTGGATCAAAATCTTCTAGTCACCATCTTCAATGTAGATGATGAAACATGAATGTTTAATTCCAAAAAAAAAAAAAATCTTTTTCTTAAATATTCCTCTTTTACAGCATATGATTACAGATATGATATTTCAAAATTATCAGTCAATGCATTTACTAACATGTACATGTATCTAAATAAGTGAAATCTACTGAAAATGTATTTCAGGTCATCATCGTCGGTCTATTCAAATTAATAAGAATATTCAATTTTTATGAATTAAGATTCTTTGAAAATTGAATAGGCTTTTGTAATATATACAATTGTGAAACTGAAATGAAATACAATTATTAAAGGGAGACTCATACCTTTGTACTCAGATCTGCAAACTGGATGGTAGCCAAATTCACCAGTCTTCTCAACATATTACAAAGATGCTGAGGTATAATCTCTTCCTTGCACCAGTCATACTCAATGCGAAGTTTGCCATCCTTACCAAACATTAAATACAGCTCAGCCAGTGTCATATCTGCCCTGTCTGAGGTCAGACCTCCTTCCAGGGCTTCCTTCAGCTTACGAGATTCAATAGCTGCCAATTCTTCCACTGTGGGCTCTGCTTTAATGTCACTATCACAACCAATCTGCTGCTCTTCCACAACTTGAGTTTCCATGGGAATACAACCATCTGTATCTTCCACAGAGGAGAGTTCTATTGTGTTACTAATTCCTTCTTTGTTCAAACCACTTATCTCCTTCTTCTGGGAGGGGGATAAAAGTGTGTCAGGGAACATAGCATTATCCCCATCAACGATGGCACCTACATCCAATGAAAATGCTGATCCATTGTCAGGTTTTGTTGAGTCTCGGCCACTCTTTGTTGACTTCGGAGAATCAAACGTATTGCTTGGTAATGATTCTCCACCTTCAACTGAAGAACTATCACAAGTAGGAACTGGGACTGGAGCTTCAGTTTTCTTTCCCTTAGAAACCATGACTGAGTCTGCAAATATAAGAGCTATGTATAGATAACTAAGAAAAATAAATCAAACATACTTAAAGCAGCTTTAAAGCACTAAAAATATAAAATGATGCACTCATCTCAAGGAATCTTTTACTGGTTCACATGCAATATCACTGCAGCTTTGAACATTAGAAGAAACATGACTTACTTTTGATGCTTTCTTTGTAGTGATTAAATGCTAAGTTGATCTTTGGCTCCTTGATTGAATGCAGTGATACTGGGGTGACCTCACACTCCCTATGGGGATACACCTTTAATACAGTGTTCATATCATTCTCTCCATCCAAACCCTCTTTCTACCAATTGTATAGGAAATTTTCAGTGATACACTTTCTTCAATGTTCACATATATTGTTTGTAGAAATTTGTATGTTTCATATAATCAGGCTTTCAATAACGGGTGGCAGGAGGCAATTTATTGCCCTTTCAATGAGTGGAATTTGCTGCTTCAAATTTCATAATTTGCAAAAAACAAACCATAAGAAATAATTCTGAAACAGCCTCTATAAATGGATAAATTCACCTTTTCACTTCAAAATTATTGAAAGCCCTGATTATAATTCTATATCAGACATCGGGAAGGAGGAATTTCCTTTCCTGGTATGAGATCTTAAAACTGTGAAACAAGCTAGTCATTAACTTCCATTTTTGCCAAACTACAAACAAGGAGCAAGGGCCACAACACTCATCTGTGTCACCTTGGCTCTGCTGTCCTTTTGAAGACTGTATTTAAAATTTTTGAATTTATCGTATTGAAAAAATTGAATTGTGACACAAGTATCGCGATACGTACCGTATCGTGGAGGGGGCGTATCGTTTCAGCCCTACCACTACTGACCATTGAACTGAACAAATTTGAATCTGCAGTACATGAAGATGTTTGCATATTAATATCCCTAGTCTTGGTTCTTGTTTTTTGAGAGGAAGATGAGGAGGGGGAGGGGTTGACTTGAACAAATCAGAATCTTAACTATGTCATGAAGCTTTCAAATAAGTTTCCTTTTTTCATCTATTCTGGGCAAAAAGAATTTAACTATTAAATGACCCACACCTTATTTTGTCTTTTCTTGATCATGTGTCCTTGGAAGGAGGCATGGCTCTTAATTTGAACCAATTTTAATACCCTTCATCAAAAGATACTCTGGACCAAATTTAGTTGAATCTGGCCAAGTGGTTCTGGAGAGAAGCCAAAAGTGTAAAGAGTTAATAGAAAGATGAATGGATAATGACAAGCTTTGATGAGCCTTTGACTGAGGTGAGCTTAGAAAAAGTGGAAATCATCAAGAATGATGGAATGTACAAGGATACAAGTTTAACTCTATGAGGTTTCCATTTGCTGGTCATGTAGTTCATGACAGAAGACAATTTTCTGTCCCCTTTCAGTAGCATTCTGAGTCTAGGATTTGTGGCCATTTCTTGGACAAAGGACCAAGCAGCATTGGTTTTAGGGGTCATCTCTACACAGATTTTGTCTGGCACCTTTTCTGAAGACTCTGATTTATGATCTATTAAAGAAATAAAACAGAACATGAATTAAGTGGAATTTTTTTTAAAAATTGAAATTTTAACACATTTTATCTTTGACCAATGCAGGCAAATTATCCTTGTTATCTAAGCTCAACCTACCATCAATATTGTTCAACTTCTTCAAAGCATTGCACATGGGAGTCTTTATCCTGCAAAATGTTGATGTACATGTATAGAAGACCATAGATCTAATTCTTTCAAAACTATTTTTCCAACTTCAATATGCTGGCAACTGAAAAGATTGTTTCATACAATTTGGCTATTGCAGATTATAAACTTTTCTGACAGGAAGAAACACAGTACTCCTATAGGGCTGTAACTGTTCCCCGAAATAACTGAAAACTGCAGTACAAGTTGATTGGTTCGGTTTCGGTTCCATTTTTCTGGATTATGGTTCGGGTCTGGTTTATATATTAGAATTTGTATTATACAAAAAATGGTGTCAAAATCAAAAGAATGATGATGATAACAGTGATAAATAAACATCACAACTGAAATCTACTTCATTCCATGACTAAACACTTGTCACGATAGGACTAGATAATTATCAAAATGAGGAAAAATGGTCAGATTGTAGCCAATGTTCGGCCTTGAAGTCCCAAACATCGATATCAAGATGTTAATGTGATTAAAACTTGTTTTCAAGGTGAATTTAATGTAAAAATAAAGATTTTTCAAGCTAAATTTATGAAATTAAGGCTTACAATAGATATAAATAGCTGAAAGAAACTGAAAATTTACAGAACCAAGCAGACCCGAAAAATTTTCGAACCGGACCTAGACAGAAATATCTAATAAGATGCATAAGAAAAGCTACTTCTTACTAAATGTTGATTCATATTCTGTAACGTTGATGCAATGATCATTTCAACATCTCAATATATATCAAAATGTAAATACATGTATACTCTATGCAGTACAATTGTTGTCATTAAAGGAATAATATTAGTTCTTACCTTACATTCTTTCCACGTACTTTTACAGCTGTGCATCTGTAAGATTACAACAAAAAAATTACATAAATAGTATCAGGAGAGAATACTTTGTCACTTCAAACTGTTTAAAAGGTTTACAAAATATTTAGTATTTAAATAAGTCTTCTAAGTATTTTTTTTTAACTAAATTAAAAACAGATTACAGACAGCAGAAAGATTTTTGCAGATGGCTGCAATAAACCAGCAAACTGGTCAATAAATGTATTTCAAAAACATTGGTGTCTCATTTCTGATAAATAAGTTTTTGTCAAATTTACCAACCCTGTATAGATGAGTTCATTCAACTTAACTCCAACCTTTTCATTCAGAACTGAAAATAAAAATATTTCAATAATATAAGATCTCATTCATCAATTGATATGAAAACAAATCACTGAACATTAACCCTTGTCTCACCTCTTATCATTTCAGTATGTACTCCTCAAAAACAGATCATAGAGGTGTTCTGATCTTAAAATGATGTTCATTCTGATCAATTTCCCAAATAAATAAATAATAAAAAAAAAATTGAATGATTTAAATGTTCTCCCTAGAAAGTGTTATCAAAACAAATGCCAAAGTCTTACTGCTCTTTTAATGTCATAATCAAAATCACCAGTTCCAATAAATCTTATTGTAAACAGTTGGAATGATTGAGTATTATGTCAAATTTGAAATAAAGTTTGTTTTTTGTTCTTCAAAAGTTTAGATATTGGGAAAATACATATATAAGAGGCCCATTGGCCACAATGCTTACTTGAGTCACTATGGCTCTTCTGTTTTTCACCAACAGATTTTTTTCCCTTGTGTATACCTATGTAAAACTTAGATCACATATTGTGGCCCCATCCTACCCCTGGGGGTCATGATTTGAATGAACATGAATCTACATACCTGAGGATGTTTCCATATAAAGATGACTAATGAAGACTTTACTGTTCTTAAGAGGAAGATTTTTCCCATTTATATACATTCCTATGTAAAACTCTGATCATCTATTGTGGCCCCAACCTACCCCTAGGGGTTAGGATTTCAACAAATTTGAATCTTCATTATGTCAGGAAGGTTTCAGATAAGTTTAATCCTTTCTGGTCCAGAAGATTTTTAAATGACCCCACTCAATTTTCACTATTTCTTGATTATTTCCCTTTAGAAGGGTTGTGGCCCCTCATTTGAGCAAACTTGAATTCCTTCACTCAAAGATAATCTTTGCCAAGTTTAGTTGAAATTGGTCCAGTGGTTCTTGAGAAGAAGATGAAAATGTGATAAGTTTATGACAAAACCACACAAATTTAAATCAAAAAAACTCACTTGAGCCTTCGACTCAGGTGAGCTAAAAGTGTATGAAAATGTAATAATCAACAATTGCCCTTGGTGACTGAGTATATCTTATCTAAGTTTGTATTGTATTTGATCAAAATCCTCTCAGTTCTTTGGAAGAATGAATAAGAGACCATTAAGACTGACACAGTTGCTTTGACATTAACTCTACTTCACAGAAAACAAATACATGTCTCAAAGAAATACTGTACCTCCTTTGACCTTCTTTCTCAAAACCCCATAGTTTATCAGTCCATACAACTCCTGGATTTCTTTTTTGATTTCTAAAAAATAAATTAATAAGATTAACATTTTTAAAAAAAAAAAAAAAAAAAAAATCCTATAGACTCTTGATTGAGTTGAATATGACCAAAAATATTGTCAAGATCAAAGAAAAAATTTCTCTCGCAATTTAAGTAAAATTCCTTCTTACATTTTCAACTGTGAAATACTGTAATTTATTTCCTGAATAAAAGTGATATCTTATCACAGTGTGAAAAAAAATATCTAAGTAATATTTTATCACTGTGTGAAAGAATATCAGAAGTGTGACAAAACTCGAGATTTTCCTTCCCTTCTTGAGGAGACCAAGTGTTGTAAAAAAAGTAATCCTTGGCTTGTTATAAGATAGAGTAAATAAACCATCCTGACAGATAAGTTGTTGAAGTCCATATTTATAACACTCTCACAATCACTAAGCTCTGACATCTTAAATTTTGTAGTAGAATATGGAATTTATTTCATTTGTGAGATGGAATCTTTTATATTTTTACTTGAGCTTTGCACCTATGAAAATATTTTAAAAATTCTGTCCCATCTGTGAAATAAATTCCACATCCAACTACTAAACATTGAATATCCTCTATTTATTTAACACACATTGACTTCAGCCCTCATTTTTTTAAGTGCATTTACATCTAACAAAACATATACAGATTAAAACATACCAGTATCAACATCGATGAACTTCGAAATTTTGTGCCAGGTTCGATAATAAAGATGCCGAACCTGATCCTTGTTCTTGATAAGACCTGGGGTTACATTTTTCCTCCTGCACTTTGTTGCAATCCAATTTTGAATGGCATCAAAGTCTTTTCCATGCTACCAAAAAGAAATATATATAGATATATTTTTTTTTAAATCTCTCTTATCTTAGTCTGAAATGATATTATGAAAATGGTGCTTTAATTGTGTATAAAATACACAATTGAAAAACTTTACAAAAACAAAACAAAACAAGCACAAATAATTATAGAACACATTTCATTCAGGAAGTTCATCCATTTATCTAATTTTCATAATGATATCCAACGTATGGAAACCTCAAATAAAGCATCAAAGAATGCATCTTTGTCATCAGAGCTCCATAACTCCCACTGCCTCTTTGTTTTTGTTTCAGGTGTATTTAACTTGGTTTCTTTCTGGACTGAAATATATAAAACAAAGGTATAATTATGATAAATACCATTTGCAAAAGATGTATTTGAGAAACAAAATTGCAAAATATTTCATAAATCTCCAACAACATACATATGCTACTGTTTACAATATGCAAGTATTAAATGCATCTTGACTGTTTAATCTGTGAAATTGCTTCTTTTTTTTTTTAAATTGTTACAAGGGAACCACCTTGTTTTTTGACAGGTGATTCAGGGGGACTCAAATCCCTTTTTGGTTTCTTTACAATCCTTGACCGGGTGAAAGCGCCGACGCGCGCTTCCCCGTTATTCCGATTGCTGCTCGACTTGACGTTGGTTGATTTTAAGTTTGACGCCTTTTCTTGCTGATTTGCTGTGTCCTCCCTCTTACCACATGTTCTGGTTACTTTGTCGTTTGCTATACCCGTGGTATCAGTACTGATGCTGCAACAGAGTAAATGACAATCACCTCAAAACATCAAAAAAAAACAAATTCAAAATGGCTGACGCTTATCGATACGATACAGTTTACTCGTTAATACCTTCAATATTATGTTATCAGCATTTGTTATCAATGGTTTTATGACTAAAGTTTATTTCTGGTATTATATGGCACATCTCTTCAAAATATTGAAATGAAAATACACACTAAACATTGTATTCTTTTCTTTGCATTACGAGGTAAAAATATACAAAATGGCGGTGAACTTATTCTGTTTTGTCTAATTTACTTACCTATTTCCCTTAATATCGCGATCATTTCCATCTCCATGTCCTGAATTTCTTCTTCTTTTAAGAGGCATAGATATGCAAACAATGTTTACATCATTAATCGCCTAATCTATCCGCAAATTTTCCCTCAAAAACATGCACTTTCCGGTAAAGCGATCTTGCGTTCGGCATACAAACAAGTCGAACTTCTGCACGTCAGCGGAGCGCTCTTTCTCCATCATAAATGAGTTGAAATGTTACAGAAGTTATATTGTTCTATATTGTATATGTTTTTTTCAAAGTAGAGAAAGAAAATGAACATTTACCATTATTTTACGTTTTGCAAAGTAATTTTTTTAATAGCTACAGTTTAATTTCAGTGACTTTATATTTTAGTCATGTGACTTCACACCATCCAGTAAAATCGACCATAAATATAATAAATGATTGTTTGGTATTATTAAAGAAAAATCAAGAAATAAAAAATTTAAATGTAAGTGTACGTTTCAGAAATATAAACATTCCAAATTCAAGATTTTATATTCCAAAATTTCCAGATCAAAACATAAAATTAAAGGCTTCACACCATTATACCGTTATTATACCTATTACAACACATATCTTTATTCTTAAATTAAATAAGTGTTAAAATTAAATTTGAAAATCTTTCTTTTCAAACAAAATGAAAGATAAAAATTAAAAAATGAAATGTTATATAAAGGATATCTAGATTATACTAAAAAAAAAAATACATTTAGAACACACTTCTTGAAAATCATTTTGCAATTATAGTGTTCCGGCGATGTTAAAATTTTATGGGTTGATTTCAGATAATTACATTAAATCTGTTTTTTCCTAAATACTCATAACTGTCACATCTATATTGTATATAAAAACCATTACTACACTGTACATAGTTTTAATTTCAATATAGCTTATATGCTCTAGTCGCTTTATCATTTTATTTATCATCCTTTTTTTATATCAATGAAATGATAAATGATAATTAGCATGAATTAATAATATATTGATTAGAAATGTATATAATATTATGTATATATATTTTTAAAAATCTATAGTCTGTGCGCAAAGACTCTCTACTTAAAATAAAAATTCTGCATAAACGAAGATGATAGTTAGAATATTTAATTAAAATATATACAGGGAGATTCTTAGAAGTGAGCACTTGAAATCCCTGACTTTTACATTTCAAAAATAAATTTCAGAAATGGCAATGCATGCAAATATTTGAATGTTTGTCTAAAATTACATAAATTTATACTTAAACGGTGATATATACATGCTATCTGGAACTGCTGAGTCAGTGAACAGACTGAATCATCTTACAGTTTGGAATAAAAACCCATTACGAACGAAACTTGATTAACATTGTATGTATTTGTCAACACATAAGTATTTTTGATTTAAAAGAAGAGAGAAAATTAAGATAAGGAATAGCAATGGAGATACAATCAAAACAAGATAAAATATCTCAATAAGCAACTCTTAATTTATCTCTCAGAAAATGAATGAAATACCTCATAATAAATTGATATACTTAATTGAATATACATAAACATGCCTTTGCTTGAAGTACTATTGATATGTATAGAAAATTGGGTTAGTTTCTTGTTGAATTTTTTTGGGACATGACAAATCAAAATAATACATGTTCCCGTCAAAATAAAAATATATAAATCTTTATAACATCAGCATAAAAATTGTTACGTTTATGAATATATGTCCAGAAACTTTTATTCAATTCAATCAGCATGCAAATAGCGACTGTATAATCACGAAAAATAGCAAGATACAGAATGTAAACAAATCCTCGTGTTAATGTTGACAGGCACACCTCTTGGCGGGAAGTGAGATCAATTTCATTGGACGATATTTTTGTATGTGAACCTTGCCCGTCTGGATTTGAATACTTCTTATTTATCCAAGTTTGCTATTTTTAGTAGATATAACAAAAATATGTTTCATGTGAAGGATTAAAAGGTGTTGACAAAATAGTAATCAACAAAAATGTGCTCATGTAAATATGTTAATATTTTACGTCATTATTTCTCAAGGCGCATGACTTTACGTCACTTCCTGCAGTTGACTGTTCGAGCGACAACATCTTGCCGGCCACATTCCATTGAATCCCAAATTTCATTTACCATGACTACCACAAGTACCTACCAAGGTCTTGGTGATGATACCAAACCAACATCCAGGTAATCAGTTATAAAACTAAAACAAGAACATGTGTAGTTTATGTAAAATTTTCCCGTTTTTGATAAATCTTTAAATACTCCTTAAGCTGAAAGTAAAAGGTGTGCTGGAAATGTTTTTGAGTTCGAGGTTTCAATGTTAGATTATTTTAAAACGCCCCCAGAACATTTTAGGTATTATAAACCCATCACAAAAAGTTGTTACTCCAACACTGGAGGTTATTAATTTTGAAGTGGGTTAAAATTGTAATCTTGGTAGTGAAGTCAAATAGCCATGTGCATTTTATTCTGAACAAAACACCAAAAAAGTTTGATCCTTTAATGTTTTAAAAATGCAGTGAAATGATCCTATTATCAAGGTTATATTAAGTGATGATTAAAGATGAAACAAAAATGCATATGAAATTCTTTTTAGCATAATTGGAAAAAGAAGAATTTCATATTCACTAGTAGCCAAGTGTCCAAATCGTTTCCTCTCTCTCTCTCTCTCTCTCTCCCCCCCCCCCCTTTGGCTAGCAAAGATGATGAAATTGGTGAACCCTCTGAAAAAGAATGGAAATTAAGAGTATAAACCCTTCAAAAAGGAATTAAGAGTTATAGCAGAGTTTGACCAATGGCAATATGCGATTACAATCAGTGCTAGGTAGTAATTTTTTTAGGGGCTAGTAAAGTTTGCATGTGCACTAGCCTTTGGGCTAGTTGATAGAAAGGCTTTTCATTATGACTGTTGTCTAAACACGCTTTGCTTATACTTTATTTAAAATTTGAAGGGTGTTAAGACCACCAGGAGGAGGGTCCAGTAATATCTTTGGTGCAGAACCAGTTCAGAGAACCCCCAACAGGCCACAGTCCAATGACATCTTTGGGACAGGACCTGTAGAACCAGTAGAAGAACACAAAGGAAAGAGAAGAGGTGGACCTGCAGACAATTCTAGGGACAATGTATTTGGAGGCTCCACAACCACTGACAGTGGGTCAAACACCAGAGCAGAGAACAAGAGGCGTGGACAAGGTAAAGATCTAGTCAATGATAAAAACTATGAAGCCCATCTCTCATTCATTCTTATAAATAATCTCTAAAACTTGTAGATTTTACAACACTTGGTAACTACTAAACCTGACTCTCTCGTAGTTTGCAAAATATATTGACAGGTTATTTTTTTTAGGTGGTTATCTAGTGTTTGATTTTAACATTATTCTGCTTTGTTAAATGACACTAATGAAATTAAGGGGACTTTTATCACAGCTTTGTAAATTTCCACAAATTTATCACAGTTTGAAGTGCCCTTGTCATTCACTGAAGAGCAAATTCTGTGGACACTAAGATAGTGTGTATCACTGTGATCAAATTCACAAACATTCAATCAAAATTCATCTTTTGTGTTTCTAAATTCATTATATCTGTGTACAGGTCTTATCCAAATCATATATGCCAGAAACCACTTTTTGAATTGATACTGTGAAATTAAATTTTTTGTTGCATTCAACATGGTAAAGACTAAAGATTTCATTTTAATATTTGTTTTAAGAGCTGTTAATAGCTAAGATCACAGCGTAGTATCTGTTCTTATCAGCTTAATATCTGATATGTTCCCTATATGGGAACTACAATTTTACAGTTTCCTATTTTATATTAATGTTTTTGCCCCAATTGTGCATTAAATATACTACATTAAATTAAATATCCAAAAGAAAAAGAACTATTTTAGTTTGTTTTTTTTTTACACTGAAATTTTCATTTTAAAATTTGTCTTAAAGGAAAAACAGAAAGCTTGTGCTTTGACTATGCTTTTTTGACTTGGTTTTCATATAAAATTTAAGTGTGTGTCTTACAAGTAACACATTAAATGCTATTGCTTTTCAGACCCAGGTCGAAATCGAAGTAAGATTGCAATGTGTTCTATTGTCATAGATTAGATAGAAAATTAAAATCTATAAAACAAGCATCTCACATTTAGAAATGATTGTTTTCTTGCACATTGATATTTGTTACTTATATAGTTTGCCTTTAACTCAGTATTGATGGTTTTTCTTACAAATTATGGCACGTTTCAGTTTTAACTGACAGAATTCTAAATGTGAGATTCACCCAATACCCAGATCCCTCAAAAGTAACCTTCTTTCTGTTTTTATGCTAGCTTGCAATATTGTTAAAAGTTTTATATTATATATTAATTTTGAGTCTGCTTAACCATTTCATTAGCACAATTAATTAACAGAAATGGATATATTTATCTGGGATCTTTATTTCTTGTTTATACAGTTTATGCAGATTATCAATTAAAGGAGAAGGTTATTTTTCTTCTAAAGGCATGGGATTTCATTTTTTGTGTTGTAAACAATATATAGATATTACAAATGTAGTACTTCTTCCTATTCTGGTCTTATTTTACTTGTGGTATATTTAATCAAATTGATAGATCTATTTTAAGTCTTTCTTAGTTTTTTCCCCCTAAGAAGTTAGACACTGTATTTAAAATCACAATTAAGGCTCCCTTCAAATTACAGAAGAAACCCTTCCCTGTGTTAATTATAATTGTAGGTACAAATACTTTATTGTATCACAATACTCATGATTTGCTTCACTTTCTAGCCTTCTAGCTAAAAGAACTAGAATGTGGGCTCCTGATTTTATCATTGAATATTTACTAACTTGCCAGATGTTGTATTTTGTTTGGCAGATTCACAAATTGGGGGTGCAAGGCTTTCTTCAATGCTGTGTTTCCCTTTACTAGGTGTACACCTTGTTTTATTTCATTTAAGGAGTGGTTAAAACAAAAGGTAGTATGAAACTCAGTTCTTTAAGAAGTTGAGTCGGGTATATTTTTTATGTTGAATTACATTAATTTGAAGTTTGTTGTTGTGGCTTATTTGCATACTGTTTTTGGCTGATCTAAAGGATGGCTATTGAAACTGGTTGCATGGTTCATATACATGCATTTACTAGAATTGTCAAGTTTGTGAGAAAGAAAATGATATTTTTAGTCTGATTATATATATATATATAGATATACAACTTTAAATAATTTTGTGTTTGCTTCTGATGACTTTATATATAAAAACAAGGTAATTCTTTCTTTATTGGTTTTGATAGGCTTTATGTATTAGAACTCCCAATTCTAACTCTGTAAAGGAAATACCTGGTACTAGAAGTAAGAACAGATTTTCTTGTAAATGAAATCAATAAACAGAGATGTTTGAAATACTTCCTCAGTTGAATTTTTATTTTTAATAGGATGTCTATCCATTGAAATTAAATTTTTAGAAAGTTGTTTAAAAAAAAATATTTGCACACAACCTAATGATTTCATGAAGTATTTCTTTTCAGTTGTAATGCTGGTGTATATATATTTTTATATATGCAGTAATTTTCTTTGCCTATTAAAAGTTCATAATTGTTTTTCAAGTGAATTATTTATGCAAATGAGTGTTATTTCTTTGACTTGTTTTGAAATGATTTTATTATTTTATTTTTAAATTTTAGGAAAATTGTAAGATTCTTTCAAATTTTGACATGTCTTTTTTGCACAAATTGTTTGTAACCTATTATAAAACAAAATGTAAAGTCAATGAAAAATTTACAAGAAGGGAATAGTAATTGTAGTGTGCCATACATTGCCTTATAGTGGATGGGTCCCTTCTTTAATATATGCATGCACATTACCAAATTGTTTTGATAAAAGAGATTTCTTTAAAGCAAACTTCTCCTTGTTCAATTACTATTCATTAATTAAGCAATATGGAAATGAATGGTTAGTCATTTGTTATATGGAGTAGAGATGTTTGTTGCACGTAACTAAATTAATTTGCCAGATAAATTATGCATGATTCATAACAGAGTGTTTTCAGTTATTTGTATGTATGATTAAATATTAGGATTAAAGCATGCATTGTTTTGTATAAGGTGAAGAATTTCCAGAGTATGACCGATCTGTCTATGCCGCCCAACGCGATCCCCAGAGAAGAAACATCAAACAAGGTAGCCAGATGGCTAAAATTAAAGAAAAAATGAATTTTGGTTGAAATTTTGTTTATAAAAGTTGAAAATCAAGGCACACATGTATGTAAAACTTCTGCAAAATGTTGCATTTGGAACCTTATACAATTCAGTTTCTACCTATAATCCCATCACCTGCCAAGCATACGCTGGCTTTGAAGATTGGAAAGATGAAAATCCTGTCAAAGGAAAACGGTCTCAGTCCCACCCTTCCAGCATGGGTAATGATGGACAAGTATTTATTGATCAGTGTGGACTGCTTTCTATTTAGCACCTTTGTAGGTCTGTTGCTGTTTCAACTTCATGACAAGACAAAAAATAGATCACAAAATGTCCTGCCGTTTTGTTGAACAGCTTCCATGACTCACACACGTCACTTACCTCATACAGTCAAGTCAATCAAATTCATTTCTAATTCATCTGTGTTTAATATTCAGTCATTTCTTTAATTTATATTGCAGGTTAAAAGTTTATGAATTTATGCATGCAGCTTACAAGCAGTTGTATGTTGTACCTTGATAATCCATTGGAAATTTGTCATTTTCTGAAAGTAAAGATTTTTTTTTTTTTCTTGACTGTATTGCGTGAAATAGATTTAGATACTGGCTCATAATACATGTAATCCTTGAAGTGTCTATTTTCTGTCTTTTAGTTTGCTAGTTAAAACTGTGAAGTTCATTTCACATTTTCTTTGTGTGATTTTTGCATGACCTTTTAACATTCTGTTTTTCCATTATTTGTAGTGTAGTTTATGACATTATTTATTGAAATCATTTACTTGACATTTTCATGTTTTGTTCACCTCTATGAGGGCAGTTTTATTGTGTATTAAAGAATGGAGGCGTACATGGCAAGGACAATACCCCGCTCTGAGAAAAGACATTTCTGATTCTAAAAATTCATGAAAAGTTATATTTTTGTATTGTCAATATCATTTTTCATATATTTACTTCTTTACTTTCACTTATGTTTTTAAGGTATGTAAAAAGGAAAAAAAAAAAAAAGCTTCACGCATGATTCGAACTCTCTTCAAATTTCATGGTTAGGCATAAGACTGAACGTGTTAACTACTATGCTACGAGGTCTGCTTGTCTTCAGTGTGTGTCAGTGTGATTTAAATAAACAATTTTGATGAAGCTATATTTTTCAGAAGTGTTCGATTTTCATATAGACTGGGTTCAGACTGCATCGTTTTGAAACATGAAATATATTTTACATTTATTTTTCTGTTATTTAAACGGTAATGAAGAATGGAGACTTGACCCATTCATATTAAAAAATCATTTTTACGACTCGAACAAACCCCCATTTTCTACTGAACATGCTTAACAATCAACTTTAAAGACAAATGTTCAATTAATAAGTCGTTCAGTATCATAAATGAATCAAATATGTTGATGATTACATTACTGAAAACATAATTTTAGAAAATGTAACTTTTCCGTGAACTTTGAAAATTTGAGAAATATATTGTCTCAAAGTGGGGGATTGTTCTTGCCTTGTACATCCTCTTTCTTTTCAAGCCTGTGAACACCTCCTCCCCCTTCTCCCCCCCTAACTCAAACAACAAAAATTCTTATATTGCAGTATGTGTGGCAGTAACAATTAGACAAAAAAAAAAAATTAAAATATTTGCTGGGACAAACATAGTTACTTTTGAATAAAGATAAATTTAAATATTGCCATGGAAACATTTTTCAGTTTATGAAAACTAAACAAGGCATATTGAGGTTAGAATTGCCAAGTTAGCTGCTGCTTTCAACAAGTTCAAGGTTAAAATACATAAATGATACCTACCATAATATTTATATGAAGACTTCTCTGGGAAAAAGAGAAATTTGTGAGAAATGATGCCTCTGTGAATTGTTGCCATTGTATTTTTCTTGTAACAGTATACGGCAATGACAATATGCTAGCTATATTTTGGTGCATATAATCATTCAAGGATTCAATTTGAGCATCTCTAAATAAAAAGAAACATTAATATCATTAAAAACCAAATTGATTGTATTATGATTCCATTGGACAGGAAACATAATCATTACCACTTTAAGATTTTTTTTTTTTAAATTCCCACTCAAAATTTATCTCTTTCACTCTAACATGCCTACAAAACTTATTTAATCACCATGTGTAATTACAGGTGCCTTCAACCCCATCACTGGTGAGCCAATAGCAGGTTCTCCTCAAAAGCCACAAGAAACAGAGGAAGAGGAGAGAAGAAAACGAGAGGCACAACAGGTATGACACTCTTAAAACACTGGTATAAGGTCAGCATAAAAATAGTTCTGATGTCACTGCTTTTCTCCATCCCTGCAGGTTCTCAAGAATACAGTTCTTGTATAAATAACAAATTATTATAATCTTTGAACTATGGTTGATTTGGGGGAGGGTAAAATTTTCATTGAAAAAGTGCTGTGCAAAGTGTAAGAAAAGCTGTACCTGTTTGCAAAATATAGGGAATCATGGAAAACTGAATGTTGCTAGGCTTCTTCATCCTCAATTTGAAAGTATGTTGGTGTGAATTTTGTAGACTAAATCTAATTGTGAATTTTGTGGACTTAATCTCGGTGTGAATTTTGTAGACTAAGGAACGTGGTGATGAGGGCAGTCAGCCAGTACAGCAGGCACCTCACACTTCCTCCCGAGTTCTAGCACCGCCAGGAGGGAAGTCGAGTGGACCTCTGTGGTGAAGGAGGTGACAACTAGTCTGAACCGGTCTAATCTGCTGTGATCCAATACTTAGTGCAGTTTGTCCGGTCATCAGTTTTACATGTCATTGGAGATTCAGGGCATGAGGAATCTCATTCTCTGTATATTATCAGAATGTTTATGTGTATATGAACAGATAGTGTTACTTTTTGACATTAACACCAAAAGCTTGTATATGATTAAAACTATTAATTAGTTTGTACCTTTTTTCATTAACACTGCCATACAATATTGATTATCATTATTAAGCAATATAGATTTGTGGAGTGTTGATATTGAAAGTTGGAATAATATTTTTTACCATTCTTGAACCAAAAATATGTTTCTGTTAATCATAGTGCTTTATGTTTTCAAAATTTTGTTTTACAGTTTGTCTTGGCAATATTTATTCTCAATTTCATGAACTGTATTTTATTTTGTTAAACCTGTGACATGTGGACCAAATTTTTCCTAGAGTATATATTTATTTTTCCTGATCTGTTATATGTCCTGGTGTCCTTTGGTGAGAGTTAATATGTTTCTGACACTGACAGGAGGTATTGGTTGTATAGTGTATTTGATAAAGAGTTGTAAGAAATTTTACTTAATAACAATTTATTTGTAAACTATAATAAAGAGATATCTCCATGAGTGAAGTCACTTATTTCAGAAAACAAAAAATGGTTTTCAGTGGGAGAAAAAGGTTTCCATGAAAGGGTTTTTTTTTTTCTTTTGAATAATTGTGCAGTTTTTGCAGACCCAGAAAACAGGATTGATTTGGTTTGATAGGGATTAATTTTAGGAAAATTGATTACATGAATTCTTAAAACAAAAATTCAGCATTGATTTGTAAGTGACTCAAGTGATATCAAGTGCTCTTTTTTTATGAAGTGACTGTGTAATGGAAAACAGGAAGCTAGGATTTTACAAAATCAAGGAAGCGTATATGGAGGTAGCTTATTGTAAGCAATACAAAACTTGAAAAAACATGCATTACCCAGTAATAAGTATTATGTAGAAAAGTTGCACTGAAAAGCACTTCGAAGAAAATGTGTTGAAGGATATACAATCTACGTGAATTTGTGTTAGTGAATGACCCTAATGAAAATCCAAATTATTGGGGAAAGATAATACACTAATATAGAAATGTAATAATATATACAGTATTTATATATGAACATAAAGCTTGAATGTTTTTTGGAGCAGATTTCTTTTCAAGTACTTCTATGCCCAATATTAATCAAAGATGCATGGAGGATGCTTCTAGTGTGTTTCATTGTACCAGTCAAGGTTTCAGATGGTGCAATTTCAGCTAAAGAATGACCAGGTTAATGTTTTTGGAGCAGGTCTCATTTCTAAGTAACTATAAGCCCTACATCTTTATAAATAACTCGTTTCTTTCCATAGTAATTGCATGTATCAGTGGGGGATTTAAGGGGGCGTATCCAGTGTGCGCCCCCTAAAATTGTCAAAGTTGGCGTAAATCATAGTTTCATTGAAAAAAAAAAATAAAAATGTCTACTCGGTAGACCTCATTTTACCCTACAAAATCTCTAGAATACAGGAGCTTCTTTGGGTTTCGCCCCCTAGACCCCCACCAGAGCTTTGCCCTTGACCCACTGGGGGCCTCAAAGCCCCCAGACTGCCTGCCTACTTTTTGTGCTCCCCTCCCAACTTCAATTCCTGGATCCACGCCTGTGTATAAAACGGCAACACGAGCCAGCTACAAAGTATCTGAATTTATTACATTTTCAACTGTGAAATACTGTGATTTATTTATTGAATAAAAGTGATATTCTCTCACAGTGTGAAAGGATACCAAAAAAGATATTCTCTCACAGTGTGAAAGGATATCAAAGTAAGTAAAAAATAATTTCTGGCCTTTCATAAGATAGAGATAGTAACTAAGCATCTTGATGCTAGCTTGACACTGTGTTAAGAAAAGACAGAGGCAAAGGGAAAATCAAAGAAAATGTAATAAACAGAAAATTCAATGTTTTGTAGATGAATATGGAATTTATTTCACTCGTGAGACAGGATTTTTTGATATTTTCACTCGTGAAATAAATTCCATATTCATCTACAAAACATTGAATATCCTCTATTTATCACATACAGTGGATACAGCTGATAAGATATCGTTTTCATATCCACGGTTGCGATGTCACAAGGCTCAGGGATAAAAAAAACGCACAACTCGGATTAAAAATCATGTCCAACCACAAACCATGCGAGATCCTATATATAACGCATAAAGCCGTAGAAGGATTGAAAAGCCAAGATTAAGGACATACGCAACATAGTTTGAACTTTATTGTCTTTTTCCCCTGGAGTTGAAGAGTTCCAATACTTAAAAGAACTCTGCTACATTTTAATGTCTATATATGCTGTTGAACACTTCTTCTAAAACAAGTTTGGATAAACAAAGCATCTAGAATATATGTTTAGAAATTTTTGTATATTTTTCTTTAAATTATACAAGAACTTTCATCAACTGATATCTTTTCAAAACCCCTGGTAATGCATTGTTGATTTTTTGTCTACGAACATTTGATGGCACTATAATCTTAAATTCAGAATATCTTGAAAAATTATCAGTATGTAAGGTACATTAACGTTGCGTATGTCCTTAAAGTTGGAAAAGCCAAGATTAAAGTTCGAATTGAAGCCAACTTTTAAGTTGGAAAAGCCAAGATTAAAGTTGGAATTACCAACTTCAAAATTGGAATTTCAAACTTTACCAACTAAAAAGAAAATATTACGAGGCAAACAAAGTCACTTGTCTCTGCAGGCCCGCAGTAGGCGGGTGGGGTGGGGCACTTTTTCTAAGATTTTTTTTTTTGATGTAGGTTTTACTATGTAAATTTTCATTTGGAAGCTGCTTAATTTGCAGTCCACTTTTTGATGCTGTACGGTTTAAGACAGGCAAATTCCAGCATTCGAAAAAAAAAAAAATTGTACTGAAAACAGGCGCGGATCAGGAATTTTAAATTGATATTAATGGTGTAATTTTTCTGACGATTAAACGATTTTTTAAATTAAAAAATAAGGGTCTTTGATAGATAATCGTTTTATTTTTCCAACTTAATTAGATTAATTTTTTTCATTTACATCTATGTCTTTTGGAAAATGTCATTTTTTCTCAGCAATGTCATGGTTGCGACCGTTAATCTTGTTTAAAAAAAGTTAATTACTAGAATTAAGTCAGCCCCCTGTTGTCACCAATACCAAAGGATGCACCGCGGCATTTTGTTTGTTTATCATGCATTGTCTTCTCATTCCTTGAATATCGTTAATGTGCTCCGGCGAGGAAGTTTTTTAGTTTTTTTTGGGGGGGGGGGGGTAATTTATTCATGTAAATTTTTGAGGACTGGGACGATATATTGAGATATCGATTCAATGTGAGGATGATACGCATATCGATACGTATGAAGAAATATAGAATATCTCCAAAAAATTCTGACTTATGTTTTTCTTTGTTTATTTTACATTTTGGGTTAAATATATGAAATAAATATGCTAAATATAAATATGAATATGAAATACATAATGAATAATATCACATGGGTAAAATGATTTTGTTTTACAACAGATAATTATACAGCTTCTTTGAATAAATTATTCTTATTTGTGAAGAAATGTTTTGTTCATATTTCTATACAAAAAAACAACAACATTTTATAAACAATTCAACATAGCGTGATATATATCGCATCGTGGCTCAAATATCGTGATATGTATCGATATAGAAAAAGTTGTATCGTCCCAGCCCTAGAAATTTTGCTTGGGCCGAGGTGTTCTTATATGTGCCCGACCCGTCTGAGCCAAGATTTCATTGTGCCGAAATGTCAATGGGCCGAGGTGTCTGACATTCGTTGAATGATACGAATAAATTTACGATCAAACTATCAACAGAATCGATAGGCATCATAACAACGAAAAACAAAGGATATTCATCATATTGGAAATCTTATTGAAAAGAGAGTAAGTGTCAGGAATATATTAGTTGATTGGCTATAATAATACATGATAATAATTGTGATGATGAAACCCCACAGTGCGCAAGCGGCAACATGTAACGTTAGCATATTGAGGATATTCGAACTTCTAGCTGTTACATGTATTACATGTCTGCTAACTATTGCAAATTTAAATCATATTATCTAAACAGAATTTATATTTTTTCGAATGTTACATTTCAGAGACCAGCTTGTAGCAAATTTCTGATGACTGTCATTTTGTCAAGATGGAATATATCTGATAATGATATGAAAGAGCAGACATTTTATAAAAGTTTTCTGCAACAGAATATAATCAAAGGCCTATGTAGTATATTCCTTTTACATACATTTTAATAGAAATCTATACTTTTATTATTTCAGTTAACAAAAGAATGATGTATCTATCTCATCCTAAGACACCTTTGAAGCCTACAAAGAGTGCACTTCCAGTTTTTGGGAGTATTACGAGAAGTCCAAGAACACCACCATCCTCATCTCTTTATTCAGAGTCAGATGGTGGCGTTGGAACACAAGGGGGATATTATTCAGACACATTTATGAGTGAATCTGCATTTCAAGGAGGGGATCAACAACAGAAGAAAACTCCCAGAAAAAGCCAGATCAGTTTCAAAGAAAATGATATTACTGAAACAATTCATACAGAAATTCCTTTTACTGGCAGGTCAACAACAGACATTCCTTTCACTGGTCGCACTGTCAAGTCTCTGACTGAGAGGGCCATAACAGAAATTGAGACTTGTATATCAGAGTATGATCAAAGTGAAAAAATTGTTACAGTTACTGAAAAATTACCCTCCTTGTCAGAAACTAAATCTAGTCAGTCATTATATTCCAACACATTTGAAAGTGATTCCCAATTCATTGACAACAAATCAAGTTTGAGACCATCTAAAAGTGACCAGGAATCAACTGTATATGATTATTCAGACACCTTCCACTCAACTGGGCATTCAGAAAGAGACACTACTGCTCATGAATTTGACGAATCAGACTACACGCTCAATGAAGACTCAATGACTCAGTCAAGCACATTTAAATCTTTGGAGGAAACTGTTGCATCAGCATCGCCAACACCTGAGTCCTATTCTGTAACTTTTGAGGCTGATTCAGAATCTGAAAGGTAATATATAGCAATAAATTAGAAAAGAAATCTTCTACAAAGATGTTCGATTGGAATATATATTCTTGAATGTGTGTGAAATAAAGATTTCATGTATATAAAATCCCAGCAAGAAAATGATTGAAGAATAAAGAATTGTATAGTGTAAACAGATATGATAAAGTTTGAAGAAGAAGAAAAAAAAGAAATATTTTGCTCCATAATTGTTATCTTGCTGTTATATATTAAAATTATATTTTTTTTTAGAGAGTATATTGCAGATTTTGAGGAGAGTACTTCCCTAAAAACAGATTACACTGATACCTTTTTGTCCCTAGGAAGTGTGGAGGACTCCTCAGAAAAGGTTTGTGATGAGAATCTTAAAGGAGGAAATTTAAAAATTGTACAATGTTTGATTGCTGTAAGACAGAATATTGTAAGCATATTTTTTTCTCACAGGATTATTTCCATGGAATCGCAATTTTCTAATCAATCTGCGGGTAGAAAATTATGCGGATTTCTTGGATTATCATTATACTTCCTTAATGCATTTTATGTACACTGTGACAAATTTCTGGAAAAAAATTGTGACTGCGTACATAGCTTAAATTAATACCATACAGAAAAAAGTACATCTACAGTAATTGAGCCACCTATGGCAACTGCAACATGTGCACACTCTTGTGCAACTTGAGTCTCAGAGTGTTATTTTAACAATGTCAAAATGTCATATGATGATCAGAAGGACATATTGCACACTTGATCCCTCTTAGAAAAGCTTAATTTCATTTAATTAAATTTTTATTTTCTTTGTAAGCAAATTGTTAGATTTGTTTAAGAATGTTTTATATAACAGTTCTGTTGTTTTTAAGATGGAATACAATTTTGTGTTAGCTGTAAATTTAACGAAATAACAACATACATATATCTATTATAACAGATTAGACAGGCAGAGGAATTAAAGAAAATCAGCCAAGAAGCAGAGGAGGAGTTTATTGCTGCCATGGTTACTCATATTAAACAGAAACCAATGAGAGACTCTGACATTTCAGCATTGATTGATAAAGAGCTTGAAGGACCAGGTGAGTGTTAGCATATTATGCAAATTAACTATTGTAAACCACAGATAAAAAAAACAACAAAACAAAAAAACAGAGACTTTAGTGAAATTATGAAAAATTACTTAAGTAATAACTTACTTTCATCCATCGTCGGTACATGTAACCCACGGCCTGTGACGGGTGATTCACATCAATTCTCTCTACCTTGTGGACTCAAAACTGGTTTGCGTCGATGACTTTCATCATCCATGTGATATTTTTGCTTGTGCTATTGTATTATTAATTCTGATTTATTGTCTCTTTAGTATGGTGGAAAATAAATTAAAATACAATTTTATGAACAGATTATGAGGAACTTGACAAACACTCCAAGAGATACATGAAGAAGAAGATAAGGTTACTGAAACAGAAGTTAAATAGAGGTATTCCTTCTATGGCTACCCTATATATTGATAATAAAGCTAAAAAATTCTAATTTGGGACAGATTATTGTTGGAAAGTTGAAAGAGTACATGTATTTATCAAATGTGCAGAAATAATTTTTTTAAGGACATGTTGTAAAATGAATTGTATTGAATTGTAGTGCAGTTACATGTAAATAACCACCAAAAACATTCAAATTTGGGACAACTAGATTATTGTTGGAAAGTTGATTGAGTACATGTATTTATCAAATATGCAGAGGTAAAATTCTTTAAGGACATGTTGTTCAATTTATAATGAATTATAGTGCAGTTAAATAATCATGGAACCATGGTAGAAAAATAGTCAGTAAAACTAAGTATAATCCTTATTAGCCACAATAATCATAAAAAAGCAATGCAACTAACCAAATTGTCACTTCCATATCCATTGTTGACAGCTTTTATGAATAAGGCAAAAGAATCCAACATTTTCTGATGTAATATAGTAACCTTTTAATTTGTAGGAGAAGATCAGAGACCCCAAGAAGTGACCAATCAGTGGGAGTGTAAGAAGAACCACCTCATCTCAGACTATGGAGTCCATCCTGCTATACTGGACAAACTTAAACTGCACAATTTCATCCATGACATGGAAAAAGTATATTCTATCATCTTCTATTTTGTTTTTGTAGTTTAAAATGCCAGAATTAGAAGTTGATGAAATTTTTTTAGTTATTATGGATGCTGATATGATTAAGAAAGTGATTGAAGAGGAAAATGAACAGGAAAGGAAAGCATAATAGTCCTTTGTTTTCATTTGAAAAGAAAGATAAGGAATTACTGTACCGGTATTATGTATTAAATGATGATTCATACAATTATAAGACAGTAGACAGCAGGTCAACCTGAAAGTATAAGATTTAAAACTGTTGAAACATTTTTTATGCTTAAAAAAATGACTTTTTAGCTTACCTCCACAAAATCAAGATGAACCCCAGTGTTGTCATCAACACTGGTGCCCCAGTTAAAGTTTTAGGAGCAATAGTAAGTCCTATGATGATGAAACTTGAATGGATAATGTATGTAAGGATGCAATCTAACAGACATGCTTTGGATGCTGGATCTGACTACATTTTCTGGATGAGTGTTTAAAGTTTTTTGAGCAAGTCCATTTCCAAGTAACTGTCAGCCCTACCTAGATAAAACTCTAATGGATTTTGCATCTGTGGATGCACACTACCAAACATGTTTTGGATGCTGGATTTGACCTATTTTTCTGGTAATTGAACAGGTTAAGGTATTTGAAGCAGGTTTATTCCAAAGTTACCATAAGCTCTATTGTGACCCAAAAAGCATGGATGATGCAACTAGGAATGTACACTACCAAACATGCTTCTAATGCTGGATCTGACCTACATTTCCTGGATGAGTGGATGGGTAAAATTTTTCGGAGCACGTCCATTTTTAAGTAACTGTGAACACGACGGTGACCAGACTTTCATAGATGGTGTGTCTAAAGATGCACACTACCTGCTTCAAATGCTGGATCTGATCTACATTAAATATTAAAGTTTTAGGAGGAAGTCCAATTCCAGAAAAACCTAAATCCATTGGTAACCAAACTTGCTTGGATGTTGCATTTGAGAATGTATACTACCAGAATATTCATTTATTGTGAGACTTTGCATTGTCCATTGATAATATTTGTTGAGGATAGCATCATAATCTTTGATTATCTATGTTTATTGTATTTTACAGGCAGCACAGACCAAAATTCATGATCCCATAACATGCAGAGAATGTAGGTAGGTACTCTATAAATAGAACGGACTTATTCTTTGTGAAAAAATTAAAACAAAATTCTATTAGTTTTACTGTAAACATTATCACTTTTCAGAGTCCATCAGTTGTCCCTGGATGCAGCAGCAGCTGAAAGGAATTTCATTCGATTAAAAACACGAGAAGTCAGACAGAGAGAGATGGAGGATAATTATCACAATTATCTTGTCAGAATGGTATGTTGTACGATAACTATCACAATCGTCTTGTCAGAATGGTATGTTGTAGGATAACTATCACAATCGTCTTGTCAGAATGGTATGTTGCAGGATAACTATTACAATCATCTTGTCAGAATGGTATGTTGTAGGATAATTATCACAATCTTCTCATCAGAATGGTATGTTGTAGGATAACTATTACAATCCTCTTGTCAGAATGGTATGTTGTAGGATAACTATCACAATCCTCTTGTCAGAATGGTATGTTGTAGGATAACTATTACAATCCTCTTGTCAGAATGGTATGTTGTAGGATAACTATTACAATCCTCTTGTCAGAATGTTATGTTGTAGGATAACTATCACAATTCTCTTGTCAGAATGGTATGTTGCAGGATAACTATTACAATCATTTGGTCAGAATGGTATGTTGTAGGATAACTATCACAATCATCTTGTCAGAATGGTATGTTGTAGGATAACTATCACAATCATCTCGTCAGAATGGTGAGTTGTAGGATAATTATCACAATCATCTTGTCAGAATGGTATGTTGTAGGATAACTATCACAATCCTCTTGTCAGAATGGTATGTTGTAGGATAACTATCACAATCCTCTTGTCAGAATGGTATGTTGTAGGATAACTATCACAATCCTCTTGTCAGAATGGTATGTTGTAGGATAACTATTACAATCATTTGGTCAGAATGGTATGTTGTAGGATAACTGTTACAATCCTCTTGTCAGAATGGTATGTTGTAGGATAGCTATCACAATCGTCTTGTCAGAATGGTATGTTGTAGGATAACTGTTACAATCCTCTTGTCAGAATGGTATGTTGTACGATAACTATCACAATCGTCTTGTCAGAATGGTATGTTGTAGGATAACTATCACAATCATCTTGTCAGAATGGTGAGTTGTAGGATAATTATCAGAATCATCTCGTCAGAATGGTATGTTGTAGGATAACTATCACAATCCTCTTGTCAGAATGGTATGTTGTAGGATAATTATCACAATCATCTTTTCAGAATGGTATGTTGTAGGATAACTATCACAATCCTCTTGTCAGAATGGTATGTTGTAGGATAACTATCACAATCCTCTTGTCAGAATGGTATGTTGTAGGATAACTATTACAATCATTTGGTCAGAATGGTATGTTGTAGGATAACTATCACAATCATCTTGTCAGAATGGTATGTTGTAGGATAACTGTTACAATCATCTTTTCAGAATGGTATGTTGTAGGATAACTATCACAATCGTCTTGTCAGAATGGTATGTTGTAGGATAACTGTTACAATCATCTTGTCAGAATGGTATGTTGTAGGATAACTGTTACAATCATCTTGTCAGAATGGTGAGTTGTAGGATAACTATCACAGTCATCTTGTCAGAATGGTATGTTGTAGGATAATTATCACAATCATCTCGTCAGAATGGTATGTTGTAGGATAACTATCAGAATCATCTTGTCAGAATGGCATGTTGTAGGATAACTATCACAATTGTCTTGTCAGAATGATATGTTGTAGAATAACTATTACAATCCTCTTGTCAGAATGGTATGTTGTAGGATAACTATTACAATCATTTGGTCAGAATGGTATGTTGTAGGATAACTATTACAATCCTCTTGTCAGAATGGTATGTTGTAGGATAATTATCACAATCTTCTCATCAGAATGGTATGTTGTAGGATAACTATTACAATCCTCTTGTCAGAATGGTATGTTGTAGGATAACTATCACAATCCTCTTGTCAGAATGGTATGTTGTAGGATAACTATTACAATCCTCTTGTCAGAATGGTATGTTGTAGGATAACTATTACAATCCTCTTGTCAGAATGTTATGTTGTAGGATAACTATCATAATCCTCTTGTCAGAATGGTATGTTGTAGGATAACTATCACAATCGTCTTGTCAGAATGGTATGTTGTAGGATAACTATCACAATCATCTTGTCAGGATGGTGAGTTGTAGGATAATTATCACAATCATCTTTTCAGAATGGTATGTTGTAGGATAACTATCACAGTCATCTTGTCAGAATGGTATGTTGTAGGATAACTATCACAATCCTCTTGTCAGAATGGTATGTTGTAGGATAACTAATACAATCATATGGTCAGAATGGTATGTTGTAGGATAACTATTACAATCCTCTTGTCAGAATGGTATGTTGTAGGATAACTATTACAATCATTTGGTCAGAATGGTATGTTGTAGGATAACTATCACAATCATCTTGTCAGAATGGTTTGTTGTAGGATAACTGTTACAATCATCTTTTCAGAATGGTATGTTGTAGGATAACTATCACAATCATCTTGTCAGAATGGTATGTCGTAGGATAACTATCACAATCATCTTGTCAGAATGGTATGTTGTAGGATAACTGTTACAATCCTCTTGTCAGAATGGTATGTTGTAGGATAACTATCACAATTGTCTTGTCAGAATGGTATGTTGTAGGATAACTGTTACAATCCTCTTGTCAGAATGGTATGTTGTACGATAACTATTACAATCATTTGGTCAGAATGGTATGTTGTAGGATAACTATCACAATCATCTTGTCAGAATGGTATGTTGTAGGATAACTGTTACAATCATCTTTTCAGAATGGTATGTTGTAGGATAACTATCACAATCGTCTTGTCAGAATGGTTTGTTGTAGGATAACTGTTACAATCATCTTGTCAGAATGGTATGTTGTAGGATAACTGTTACAATCATCTTGTCAGAATGGTGAGTTGTAGGATAACTATCACAATCATCTTGTCAGAATGGTATGTTGTAGGATAATTATCACAATCATCTTGTCAGAATGGTATGTTGTAGGATAACTATCACAATCATCTTGTCAGAATGGTATGTTGCAGGATAACTATCTCAATTGTCTTGTCAGAATGATATGTTGTAGAATAACTATTACAATCATCTTGTCAGAATGGTATGTTGTAGGATAACTAATACAATCATATGGTCAGAATGGTATGTTGTAGGATAACTATTACAATCCTCTTGTCAGAATGGTATGTTGTAGGATAATTATCACAATCTTCTCATCAGAATGGTATGTTGTAACTATTACAATCCTCTTGTCAGAATGGTATGTTGTAGGATAATTATCACAATCTTCTCATCGGAATGGTATGTTGTAGGATAACTATTACAATCATTTGGTCAGAATGGTATGTTGTAGGATAAGTATTACAATCCTCTTGTCAGAATGGTATGTTGTAGGATAACTATCACAATCGTCTTGTCAGAATGGTATGTTGTAGGATAACTATTACAATCATCTTGTCAGAATGGTATGTTGTAGGATAACTATTACAATCATTTGGTCAGAATGGTATGTTGTAGGATAACTATTACAATCCTCTTGTCAGAATGGTATGTTGTAGGATAACTATCATAATCATATGGTCAGAATGGTGTGTTGTAGGATAACTATCACATTGATTCAGAATGATAAATTGTATGATAACTAGCACACTCATAGATTCAGAATAGTAAGTTGTGGAATGTGGTTGCATTGGGGTATTTATCAAATAATGATAAGAGTCTTTTTCATAAGAAAACTTGTCTTACTTGTGCTTAGTCCTCCAGGGCACCTGATCACATCTCTGATGCTATAGAGGTCTGTGTTTGCTTTGCTCCCAATTTCATTATTCCAATGGACTTTTGATATTGATTACTGTTTGTTAACTTCATATTTCCCACACTTATTTACGTACAGTGCTTATTATGTTGGTTGATCAATGATACAATCATGTCATTAATGGATGCAGTCATCTACAGTAAAACATGCTTATAGCAAACACGCCTATAATTGATGCTTATAGCAAAGAGATATTCATTCCCCTTGACTTTAAAATATATTGAACACTTAATGGATATAATGAATTACACTTATAATGAAGCGAAATTGTCTGTCCCCGGCACTGGTGATTTCACAGAATTATGACTCAGTGGTAAAAATTACATTCACAACTTCACAGTATCATTAAACGGTGTTGTTGTTACATGTACTACATAGCTCTTGTATTACTTCCTTTAAAATTTCTAATAGGAAAACTTTAAATGACCTGTTTACTCATCGCCAGTTTTCCTTGAATTTCAGCATGAATTTATGATCATTGTCATTGATTTTGTTAAACTTATTGATAAAACGCCTCATTTCAAGAGTTATTGTTCCTTGTTGAGGAATGTGCATCCCTTAATACAGGAACAATAACAAAATTTGGGACCACATTTTCTCACTGTGGCAAATGCAATATTGTCATGATCTTTATTTATAGGATTCAATAAACTTGATAGCAGACATTGCTCGTTCATTACCAAGGGCAACAGAGGACCCAGAAACCATTGAGGACCAGTTATTCAAAGGACTTAACCTTTCAAGAGCAATCAGTAAAAACAGACTATCTGCCAGTTAATATGTTTTCAAAGTGCAGTAATAAATTTGCATTATTATTGATTTTGTTCATGTCTTGTTTTTCCCAATTATATGTTGCTTTATCACCATTTTAAGGTACAGTTATTTTTTTTTTGAGTGGTGTAGTCTTTTATCGAGACAAAAGTATCTGTATGATGCATGAAGAAGTAGACTAATTATTACCTGACCTGAATCTTCGAGGCAGGCCTTAATTAGTCTTTAAATCTTATACATGTATGTCATCAAATTTCATTAAGGCTTTTGATAAGAAAACATAATGATTTAAAACAATATGCCTCAATCTTGTGGGGTTAAATTATTAATTTTTCTACAAGTCTACTTTGGTTAATAAAGTTTTCTACTCTACAATATGAAAACTAAAATAAGAAGAACAATTGCACAACAGAATTTTATTTCCTCTACCTAGACATATTTGATCGTGGAATGGGACGGAGGAAAATCAGAGAGACGAGGAACAAAAATATTATGACAAGATCTAAATAAATATGTTACAACAACCTTCAAGCAATATACAAAGATTTACTAACAATGACAACCGGTAAATAGAAGACATTATACTAAGGTATTAATGAAACTAATGTTTATAACCGTGAATTTAATATCTGTGAGACAAAACACTTATATGAAAAGTGTTGGAACTAATTTTCTACAAGTTCATATAATTAACACTCAAAATTTCATTTATGAAATTTATCTTGTAGACATACATATATTTGAGAAGAATTATTTAATGGCAAACTATCAAATGTTAAAGAGCCTCAATACACCAGATTTATATTTAGTGGGAAGTTAAAAACAAATGAAATTTTTTTTATAAAAATAGTGTAAATAAGCTGTATAAAAACATGTCTGGTGTATGTGCATAAACATGTTGTAATTCAATACATGTAGTATAAAAAATATTGAAAAAAAATGCCTTGTACATGTATAGGCATAAAATATTTGTGAATAGTAAGTGGGCAATTCAGCATACTGTGATAAACACGTATTTTGAAATTTATTTTCGCATCACCCAGATAAAAATTAATGACACAGACATCTAGTCTGGAAAAAATAAATTATACATTCATTTGCTACTTCGTACATTTCAACAAAGTTAAGTGAATCATTCTTTCAATGCAAAACTAAGCTTTGTTCCAAAACATTTTATCAACATCACCAATAAATCCTTTTAGTGATAAACAGTGTGACAATATGAGGTATCAGTGTAAAATATCTTTTGCTCATGACTAGATTTGCTATCACAACCCTAAAAACCAACAGATCTTGTACATACTCAAAATCTGAAAATAGAGACATAAAATATAAATCTTAACAGTTCTGGAAAAGCAAAATAACACAAAAATTACCATGCTTCATGGTAACTTACACAATTTAAATGATAAATTTTCATCTTGTAATCTGAAAATCTTCAGAACTCCTATATAAAAATATATAAAATCTATCACTTCAAAATTTTCAACAGCAATTTCTATAAAAGCAGAGAAAATGGATACAGGACTGTTTAAAAAGACAATGATCTTTGAGTCCACTTTATCCGGTAAAACTTTATAAAAAAAAGGGGGGGGGAGGGGAACAGACAAAACCATATAGCACATGATGAGTTACACAAAGACATGGAGAAAACTGGAAGACTAGCATAGCTGATTTAACATACACCATTGTTCAGAAAATTATAAACAAGACATTGCAATCTTTGTTAATACATGTATGATCCATTATTGCATTTAAAATGTAAAACAGATTATCCATACATATGTGTATCGTTCAGACTGACATTAATGAAAAAGACTGTAATGACACAATGTATAAATACATGTATAAGAAGAGGAAGTATGGCACAGTTATTCTGACCGCTTCCTTGCTGGTTTGGAATCGTGAGATGATGTATTGTGCTGGACACCTGTTTTAGGATGTAACCAAGTCGTTGTCTGGGTAACATGACTTATAAAAAAGAAGAATGTGTCAGTGAATTAATCTTATCTGTATCGACAATAAGTTTAATTTTTGACATGTTTTGCTGTGTTTAACAGCAGTTAAAAACTTTTGGAGTCTTAATATGATTAAAAAAATTGTCTCTTTTTTTAAAGGAAGTAAACATTTATATTTAACCTTTGAACATGAATTCCATATATACTGTATATTGTTTATGTAAAATAGTATCTGAAAAAATGAAATCATAGTCTTGTATAAATACTTACTTAATATAGTATCTCATGCCATCTGCAGTGTATGCCTCTTCCCATCCATATGGTAAAGCTGAATAATAAAGTTTACAATATACACTGGCAAGACATAATGAGAGGCCCATGGGCCAAAATGCTCACCTGAGTCAATATGGCCCTGCTGTTCTTCATCAGGAGTTCGAATTTTTTATGTTTTTCCTTTTCCAACAAAAGTTTGTGTTAATGACAAAATCTTAAAGAGAGTGTCAAGTCATAATATTTTGACCAGAAAATAATTCATATAAACCAGAAGTAGTCAAAAAACAGTTATTTTCATAAAAATATATTCAGTGAAGTTTCCTATATGATCAATCCGTTATTTACATTCATTTCGAGCACTTCCTGTCAAACCGGTTATTTTCATAAAAATATATTCAGTGAAGTTTCCTATATGATCAATCCGTTATTTACATTCATTTCGAGCACTTCCTGTCAAACCGGTTATTTTCATAAAAATATATTCAGTGAAGTTTCCTATAGGATCAATATGTATTTACATTCATTTCGAGCACTTCCTGTCAAACCGGAAGTGAATTAAAAAGAACCGAAAGGTAGTTTAAAAATTGATCGATTTTATATCACTGTTTCTAAACTAAATATATTATAGTTGTTTCTTCACCAATTGACTGATTTCCGTCAAGATCCTATCGGACGGGAGTCCTCTCACTGCTCGCAAAGAAATCACATTTAGTTTCATTATATATTCCTATGTATAACTGTCATCCTTGTTGTGACCCCACCCTACCCCAGGTGTCAAGATTTTTATAGATCTGGCCCCACTCTATCCCTCGGGATAATGATTTGAACAAACTTGAATCTACACTATTTCAAGATACTTTCATATCAATGTGTCTTAACAGGGCTTTGCTGTTCTTGAGAAAAAGATTTTAAAGATTTTTCCCCCCTTTTTTTCATACATCTGTATGTTAAACTCTGATAGTGCATTGTGGCCCCACCCTACCCCTAAGGGTCCTGAATTGAACAAACTTAAATCTGCACTACCTGAGAATGCTTCCTTATCAATATGACTAATCATGGCATAGCTGTTCTTGAGAAGAATAATTTTAAAGATATTTTAAAGATTTTAAAGATATTTTCCTATACATGTATATTTCTATGTAAAACTTTGATCCCCCATTGTGGCCCCACCCTACTCCCATTTGAACAGACTTGAATCTACACTACCTGCGGATGCTTCCATATCAATATGACTAAACTTGGCATTGCTGTTCTTGAGAAGATTTTTAAAGATTTTTTTCCTATATATTCCTATGTAAAACTTTGATCCCTTATTGTGGCCCCTCCCTACCCCCAGGGGTCATGATTTAGACAAACTTGAATCTACACTACCTGAGGATGCTTCCATATCAATATGTTAAACTTGGTCTTGCTGTTCTTGAGAAGGTTTTTTCTATATATTCCTATGTAAAACTTTGATCCCCCATTGTGGTCCCTCCCTACCCCTTGGGGTCATGATTTGGACAAACTTGAATCTACACTACATGAGGATGCTTCCATATCAGTATGACTAAACATGACTTTGCTATTCTTGAGAAGAAGATTTCGAAGATTTTTTCCTATATTGCCCTATCTAAAACTTCAATCCCCTTTTGTGACCCCATCCTATCTCCAGGGGTCAAGATATGAACAAACTTGAATTTACACTATGTAAAGAAGGTTTCACATAAGTTTCAACTTTTTTGGCACAGTGGTTTTTGAAAAGAAGAGTTTCAAGATTCCACCAAATTTTTACTATTTCTTAATTATCTCCCCTTGAAACAGGAAGCAGCCCTTGATTTAAAGAAACTTGAACCTAAGGATGCTTTGTGGCAAGTTTTGTTGAAGTTGGCCAAGTGTTTCTGGAGGAGAAGTCAAAAATGAGTTTACAGAAGGATGGACGGACAGACAGACAAAAACAACCGACAAGATGTGAATTAAAAAGCTCAGGAGCTTTCAGCTCAGGGGAGCTAACAATTTAAGTGCAGTCTACGTTTTCAAAAAATGTTGATTAAATAGTTTTTTTGTTGAATGCTTTTTCTGAACCTTACATACATGTACAAGTGAACTTCCATGTCATTTAAATACAAAAATTTTTGCTTATGCATTAATAACATGGATTCTTTTGCATGAAAATTTGGAAATCCCTGAACTACTTACGATCTTTCTCTATAATGGATCGGACAGCAGAAACTACTTCTTTAGCCTCAGCAGCGAGAGCTTTTGGGTTGGATTGTTTATGTCTGCCCAGGTATGCTGGTGGACGAGTGCCTCTTGCTGGATCACCTTTTCTGTAGTAAATATCGAGATTTAACATCCAAAGTCATTGTGAATTTCACACTGTTACCTTAAAGCAATATGAGCTGCAACTTTGATGTCAGAAATTTTTGTTTCAATATTGTAATTAACTAGTTCAATGACAGAAAAAAGAATGTTTATAAACTTCTGTTATTCATATTTGTGATGGAAGAACTATTTCTAAGCTTTGATTGAAGCAAAATTACATTTTTGTCGTCCTGTACAATATTGATTTCTTATACAATACTATACATTCTATAGTACAGAATTATTTCTTTCAAAAAAATTAATACTTTATTTTAGTTTAATTGATCATAAAGGTTTAAATTACATAAATATTTATCATAACAGCACATTTTAACAGCAAAATAAAATTCTCAATAATGCAGCTCATATTGCTTTAACTTGGCAAGACTTACTTTACTCCTGTATTGTTTCCTTGTGACATCATTGCTTCATGCACATTCTAAAATTTAACAAAATATTAAATACATTATCTTATTTATTAAGTAACTTAATACAATGTATGTTAAAACATGGCCTGGAGCGAATCATCTCACCTCTGCAAACTGTAACAGCTTTTCAGTGGCTACTTCATATGTCTTCTTTTCTGCCTCCAGCTTCTTCAGCTGACAGGAAAACACTGTCATTTGTTGCTGTGTATCTACATTATTTGTCACATTCTGAAATTATACATGTATATAACAAATATAAATATATTTCTATACTTTCTATAATTATACATAAGACAGTTGGTTCCTTAGATGCAAACATTTTCTGTGACCAAAACCTTGTACATAATGTATCCATTTTATCTACTGTATACAGGGAAACTTTCGCCCCCGTTTTATTTTCTCCCTACTCACAAGTGGGCGAATTTAAAACGGGGCGAATTAAAAAAATACAGTATTTCTTAAACAAAATTGTGACTGGGTGAATATAAAACTGGGAAAATTTGACTGCAAGTGTGAAAGGGTGAAAATAACCCTGTATACAGTATTAAACATGTGTATAAAACAAATCCATTTAAATCTAATCATGTATCTTCTCCTTGGACAATTAGGTACTTTTAGTACTCACAGTTTTGCGTTCCTCCTTTAATTTGGCCACCTCAGCCTCCAGAAGCTGTACCACCTCTTCGTAGTCCTTCTCCACGTTCCGAGCCTCTCTCTGGGCTCTCTCTGCGATCTCCACCTTCTTCATCGCACCCTGGGCTTTCTGTAGAATTGTCAAAATTAGCAATCAGGACATCTGGTGTTTACTCACAGATGTATTAAATATGTGCAGAAACTTACCAGCTGTATGTTATGTAGCTCTTCCTCTGCCCGGCATCTAGCAGTCTCACTTTCCTGTAGCTTTAACTGTAATTATACACATAAACAATGACCAGTTCACTCTATCCTTTCCAGGTTAAAATCAAGAAACAACAATGAAAACGACACAATATAAAAACAATCTAATCATTTTATGAAATACAAAGGATTCACTTCACAATAATAACTAGAACTGTCCAAATGGGACAAATACCCCCGCTGGGTTTTTCAGAGAAGGTACCAAATCACTAATGTTTTCTAGATGTGAGAGGTGTTCACAACTTCCTTAAACATTTAGAGTGAAAATTTAATTACTCATTATATTTTTTTTTAATGAATGAAACTAATGTGCAGCCTAATAAAACATCAATACTAATAATTACAGTGTTTTTAATTACACTGAAAAAATAGTTTGCAGGTATCTGTCATCTTTGTGAGACATGACACTCTGCAAATTGATTGAATGTTGAAAAAAAATATATCATAATTAATTATACAAAGTCAAATTGGTCTTAATACCTTTATATCAAACTCATTTTAAAAATAAAACGCTGTTTTCAGTAACTATGTATTTTGACAGACATAAATTACAATATTAAGAGGCTTAGACAACAGAGATCTTTATTTCTTTCTGCCCAATTCCCAGGAGATATAGATAAGAACTGCTTGATCAGAGATGCCCTCACAGCTTCCCACACTGAACTCATTAATTAATCTTTCACTGGATGCTTGTCCACTCATTACTCCAAAGGGACAAATAAATTTACACTATCTGCTGTGTAATGTAAAAACTGTTTTTAATATTTTGTGATTTTTTTTTTTTTTAGTTCTGATAAGTAGTTTTAAGCTGTAGTCCACATTTTTGTACAGTTGTTCTAGATTCTATGTCTCAAACCTTAGACATAAACCCGAAATGACTAAGTCAATAAAAATGAAAAAAAAAAAAACACCTGTAAAATGCAGAAAAATTATCAAATAATGTTGAAAATACCAGGTGCACATCTTCATATGGTAAATAATAAGTGTACAAATTTTCATACAAATCTATGCAATAGTCTCTGGGAACAGATCCGAGTTATTAGAGTGAAAATTTAATTACTCATTATATTTTTTTTTAAATGAATGAAATTAAGTCGCAGCCTAATAAAACATCAATACTAATAATTACAGTGTTTTTAATTACACTGAAAAAATAGTTTGCAGCTATCTGTCATCTTTGTGAGACATGACACTCTGCAAATTGATTGTTGAAAAAAAAATATCATAATTAATTAAACAAAGTCAAATTGATCTTAATACCTTTATATCAAACTCATTTTAAAAATAAAAGGCTGGTTTCAGTAACTATGTATTTTGACAGACATAAATTACAATTAAGAGGCTTAGACAACAGAGATCTTTATTTCTTTCTGCCCAATTCCCAGGAGATATAGATAAGAACTGCTTGGTCAGAGATGCCCTCACAGCTTCCCACACTGAACTCATTAATTAATCTTTAACTGGATGCATGTCCACTCATTACTCCAAAGGGACAAATAGATTTACACTATCTGCTGTGTAATGTAAAAACTGTTTTTAATATTTTGTGATTTTTTTTTTAGTTCTGATAAGTAGTTTTAAGCTGTAGTTCACATTTTTGTACAGTTATTCTAGATTCTATGTCTCAAACCTTAGACATGAACCTGAAATGACTAAGTCAATAAAAATGAAAAAAAAAACACCTGTAAAATGCAGAAAAATTATCAAATAATGTTGAAAATACCAGGTGCACATCTTCATATGGTAAATAATAAGTGTACAAATTTTCATACAAATCTATGCAATAGTCTCTGGGAACAGATCCAGACAAAACCACATAATAAAAATGAAAAAACACCTGTAAAATGCAAAAAAATTATCCAATCATGATGAAAATACCAGGTGCACACCTTCATATAGCAAATAATAAGTGTACAAATTTTCAGAGAAATTCTTGCAACAGTTTCCAAGAAATGGTCCGGACAAAATCTCGTCTACAGACGGACGGACAGACGGACATGCTGATTCCAATATACCCCCCTAAACTTCGTTTGCGGGGGTATAATAAATATGTAACTTCTATTAAAAAAAAAGTAGAATTTTTTTTTTGTAGACTAAAATGATTCCATAACTCCATACCCTGAGTCTTTGAACTTCCAGATGTAAGTCTTCCCTTTCCTGTTGAAGGTCACTGTACTCATCTCTACTGCTATGTAGGTTATTTACCTTTAAGGAATCAGATTTAGTTGCAGGTGAAAATATAGAGAGAAATCAATGCAACATGTTTTATAACTTTTTAAAATTTTATCACTTTGAAGAGAAGGAACAAAATGGAAAATAAGTGATTCACAAACAAGAGGCCCATATTCCTATTTAAAATTTGAATGCCCAAACTGGCCCTACCCCCTGGGGTCACGATTTGAATAAAAGTATATCTACACTATTTGAGGATGCTGCCATACATGATGACTAATCATCATGACTTTGATGTTCTTGAGAAGAAAATTTTTAAAGATTTTTCCTATGTATTCCTATGTAAAACTTTGATTGCCCATAGTGGCTCCACCCTCTTCCCAGGGGTCATGATTTGAACAAACTTGAATCTGCACTTCCCCAGAAAGCTCTCACATAAGTTTCCTTTCTTCTGGCCCACTGGTTCTTAAGAAGATTTTTAAATTACCCTACCCATTTTAACTATTTCTTAATTATCTCCTCTTGGAAGGGGGTGTGGTCCTTCATTTGAACAAAATTGAATCCCCTTTACTCTGTGCCAAGTTTGGTTGAAATTGACACAGTGGTTCTGGAGAAGAAGATGAAAATTTGAAAAGTTTACAACAACAATAACTACAATTACAACGACAGACAAGGGACAAGTTTTAATCAAAAAAGCTCATTTGAGCCTTCAGCTCAGGTAAGCTAAATATACATATTTTACTGAATTCTATGCACTTTGAATCCAAAAAATTTAAAAATTTCATCAAGAGTAGAGGAGATTCTCAACAAACATATAATTACATGTTAGTTATGAAAATAAAAGAATAACACTTACTGAGTATCTGAAAGGTGGTGGCTCCACTATATCTGTAATATCATTAGCAGCAAACAGCATGGCACGTGGATCAATTCTTTTCTTCAGAAGCTCTTCTTTAAACACGTCTCTGACAACAGCTACAAAATCTGTAGATTGCAGGAAAAACAAGTAAACAAGAGCTGGACTAAATGGCCTAAGGGAACAAATACCCCAGTAAAGCATGCTTAGATCAGGTTAACATGTATCTAAAATACAATATACAGATTTAATCCTGCCATCATATACTTTAACCTTTATTTATGTTATTTGTTCTGGCTTGATTAGTAAATGAGTATTTTGCCATCCACACACAGATCTACAATCTAAAGTGAGAAAACCCAACAAGAATGCAAGTCTTCTTTGATTGGTCCAGCAAAATCAATTGATCCAATCACATCTCAGGGGAAAAGAAAGAATTTGACAGGACAAAGGTTTGAGAGGAAGTAGTGTATCAGAAATACTTTGCTAGCAAAGATGGTTTCAGGGACAAAATTTTCTTGAGCTCTTTTTGTTGCTAAAATACAGTCAAATCTGTATTATCTGACCTATCAAGGAAAAATTCTAAATGGTGGTCGCTTAAAGCAGGGAATCATATTCTAGAAATTTTCAAAGAACATGAATAAAAAGGAAAGAGAACAAGAGGCCCATGGGCCACAACACTCACCTGAGTAATTTAGCCCTGCTGTTCTTCAACAGACTTTCCCCCATGTAATACCTATTGTGGCCCCATCCTATCCCCAAGGATCATGTTTTTAACAATTCGTAATCTACACTACTCCAGGACGCTTCCACATAAATTTCAGTATTTCTGGCCCAGTGGTTCTTAAAAAGGAGATCTTTAAAGATTTTTCGTATATACAGGTATTTCAATGTAAAAATAAGATTCATTATTGTGGCCCCACCCTACCCCCAGGGATCATAATTTTAACAATTTAGAATCTACACTACCCCAGGATGCTTCCACATAAGTTTCAGCTTTTCTGGTCTAGTGGTTCTTCAGAAGAAGATTTTGAAAGATTTTTTCTATATATTTCAATATAAAACTTGGATTCCCTATTGTGGCCCCGCCCTACCCCCGGGGGGTCATGATCTTAACAATTTAGAATCTACACTACCCCAGGATGCTTCCACATAAGTTTCAGCTTTTCTGGTCCAGTGGTTCTTCAGGAGATTTTGAAAGACTTTTTGTAACAAATTCTATACCTTTGAACTTTCTCTATAAACCTTGAGACAGGGTCAAAACACATGCTTAGGTCAAAAGCAATCTTTGATCATTTAATGTTTTTTCATGACAAGTTATTGCCCAGACAAGATTTGCACAGTCAATGAATGAACACAGAGAAACTCCTATATGTAGTACCCAGTTTGTTTTACAAGGGCTAACATTATGAGAAGGTAATTTTCTGTACAGTTAAACCTGAGAATCACATACAGTAAAACATGGTTATGGTAAGCACACAAATGATGAATTCATGCTTACAGTGAAGCGATTTTCATTTCCCATGGTTTTGAAATGTATTATGAACATAACAAATATTGAGAATTATGTTCATAATGAATCAAAATTGTATATCTCTGGCACTTTGCTTTAAGTGTGTTTTACTGAGCCATTCAACAGTATTGTTATACCCTTATAAATTTCTTTCTATATATTTATTATTATAATAAAAAGTTCAACAAAGCAAACATTTTTTTTCATTGGTCTAACAATTTCATTGTTGACTGGTCTGTCAGTCCAACATAAGAATTGTTAGACTGCAACGTCACTGCTACATCACAAGTAATTAGTTGTCATTCAATATTGGTGGCACAGAAATAGTCAAAGTTTCAAGAGTTACTGTGCATGCTTTTGAAAGATGGCGTCATGGGAAAAAAATGTTTTGTGATAAATAATTTCTGTGATATAATAATTTAATGATTTATTCTTCTTATCTTTGTTGTTGTCATTTTTATTTAAAAAGCCAAAATATGTTCTATCTTAAGTGAAGGGTATAACAAAACAGTTATAGACAGGGATTTGGGCAACATATAATTTGTTGGACCTGAAGGTGAAAATGATGCCCTTGGCTTGTGGCCTCAGGCAACATTTTCATCTTCAGGACCAACAAATCATATGTTGCCCTCATACCCAGTCAATAACTGTATATTATCTAATGTTAACTGTTATAATGTTGACCTTACCTCCATAACTGACCGTTCCTGAGGAGTCTACCTTTAGTTGTTCTCTAAGACTGGCTCCTTGTTCCCCCGAGGGCTCCAGACCAAGGTACTGTAGTGCCTTTTAGTATAAGAAGTGAACAAAATAAATCCATTTATGTGACAAAATGATACAAATCATGCAAAGTCTTTCAAAGTTATTTCTCATTATTTAAGACAAAGGGACAATTTATTTATTAAGCATGCTCTTTTCTGATATCAAAACTACATATTTTCTACAATTTCATATCACTGAGTATAATGAGAGATACATGCATGTAAATAATTTGCACAGAAATTTTTGAACATTTTATTTTAAAATGCTGGCTACCTACCACCTCTAGTTTTTCAATCTTCAGTCTTACAGTTGGATCCAAAGACAACTTTCTTGATTTTGATGTGTTTCTGTATCTTGATGATTCGTTGGATGTTACAGATGTGAAAGGGTCAGAGGTCATGCTTCCTTGCACTGGGGAGGGATCTACAGAGTAGATGGTTGGACGGTTGTCATTCATCTTTCTACCTGTTCAAACAAATTTTCATGTTCAAGTGCTTTCATTTCAGACCAATGTAAAATCTTTTCATAGATTTGATGTACAATGTACAGTGTATGTCATAAAAGTTAGCCATTATAAGGTATGGTACTCAGAATATTGCTAATCAAAATAACATTTGGATAAGACCTTATAAAAAAGAAATTACAACTTAAGGACAGATGATAACTTTTTCTAAAAAATCATGAAAACAAGAGATGTTTGTGAAACACTTATGCCCCTCCCCCAATAATTGGAATTTTTCAAGGTCCAAAGGGCATAAATCTGTCAAAAATTGCTCGATCGTACCCAAAACAAAACTTGACCTAGATATTCTTATGATAAATCTGTATACCAAATTTCAGTTTAGTATGTGCAACCTCTGTGAAGAAAATGAATAGAAATTGCAAATAATTGGAATTTTTTTAAGTCCAAGGGGCATAACTCTGTCAAAAACTGCTCAATCATACCCAAAACAAAACTTGACCTAGGTATTCTTATGATAAATCTGCATTCCAAATTTCATTTCAGTATGTGCAACCTCTGCGAAGAAAATGAACGGAAACTGCAAATAAATGGAACTTTTCTAGGTCCAAGGGGCATAACTCTGTCAAAAATTGCTTGATTGTACCCAAAACAAAACTTGACTTAGATATTCTTATGATAAATCTGTATACCAAATTTTATTTCAGTATGTGCAATCTCGAAATTGAAACTGTTGGTGGACCGACCGACCGACAGACAGCAGCAAAGCAATATGCCCTCCCTTCTTCCAAGGGCATAATAACAATAAAAGCCATGTTAATACCAGTAAAATGAATAAGTTTAGCTGCAAAGATTTTAATTTTTCATTCAAAGTTTCACAATAATGTCATAAAAAGTGATGAAAAGTTGTATAGATTTACAAGGATAACAGCAAAAAGGTAGAATTTAACATCAAAGAAATTTAGAATTTTTATATTTGCATCATTTACAACCAAAATATGCTCAAAAATACAATGCGGTCTCATTATTACGATGTTCATTTTGTCACGGGAAAATATCGTAATACCGAGGGCAACGTAATAAAGGTCCCCAATGAAATCCATAAAAACATCGTTTTCAAAGCTTGTTATTTTTGTTTGAGGTGTATTTTTGCCGTTTTGTTCCCTTCTTCTGTTCCAATTCTTAATTAAAACGCTAACACATATAATTTATTAACAACTTATCTTGAATAGATATCTTCATGATGATATTTCTTCTATTTCCTTCATTTTAAAAGAAATATGCATATTTCTTATAAAAAACTTCGGCGATCTTAATTTATCTACCGCCATTTCCTTTTACTTTCGTTTCCGACTCTCTAGATAATGTGTTCGTAAAAATTTCAATAAGCTGTCTTCGTATTAAATTTAGAGTCGTTACTACATAACAACAACAATTTTTAGTGAGCTTTTGGGTGTTCAATGATCTTAGAGCAGCAGTGAACAACTGATGAAAAAGGGCAGTGTGACTGGCATATTTATGGACAGAATTTGACAATACACAAGCTATATGTCAAAATAAATTTGATTGTTTAAATAACTCAACAGAGTTCAATTAGCAGTTCAGCAATTATTGAGTTGAATTTCTGCTGACACCTGTGAGGTAGTCAAAGACATAATCCAAGCTGTTGAAACGTAAGTGAAGTTCAAATTTGGCCCAAATTATGTCTGATACCCGAGCTGTCCATTACCGCAGTTAAATTGGAAACAAAATTACACAATACGTGTTTAACGTACATGCACAAGATTAAATGTAACCTTTTATTTAATAAATAAATTTTATTTATTGACCAAAGTATAAAAGATAAAATAAACTTTACAGAGATAGATAAACTAGAGACTACATTTATAAATAAACAGTTTAATTGTTTAAGAATGGCTTTGACACGATGTCTCCAGTTCTGCTGACCTAGAACAGTCGAGATGTGTGCAGTCAAGCATCACTAATCACCTAACCGGTCTGTAGGTTAACACTCTGTCAGAGCACGGGTGTTTCAATGTTTATTTAGCGTCTCCGTGTCTACCATCGATCAGCACTGAATAAACACGGAGTGAAAAATTATTTGGACAGAATTTTTACATCGTAATACCGAGTCCCGGCATTTTAGGACATCGTAATAAACAGTTCTATTTTGTATAGATTTGTTAAGAAATGGTTTTGTGCTTTGAATTTACAAAGTAATAAGCGTTCTATCTTATAAAACCGTCACCGTAATAACGAGACTGCACTGTATATATGAATCTGGGCATCCATTTTTTGTTTGTATCATCTGTTTTTAATAAAGAATTAATCACCAAAATTAGCATCTAAACAAGTAATCTGCTATACAGGATTTAACTGATCTCAAAGAAACAAACCTAATTAAAATCGATGATAATGAATCAAGTAATCAAGAAACTGAAAGTAAAAGAAGATAAATCCATGTGGACTTACCTTTGTCATGGGGTGTGGATGCCATGCTTGGTATTAAGTGTCTGCCATTTGAAATAAAATGTCCTGGAAGTTGATGTGTCTCTCTTGTGGAAGGAAAACTATCAGGGACTATATGATCCTGGTTAGTTCTGTGGTGGTGTATGATCTAGGGAAGAAAAAGACATAAAGAAGAGGCCCATGGACCACAATGCTCACATGAGTCGCAGTTCACATCTTTGGATTCTTATTACACCTTTGTACTCTCAGCCCAACCTGACTCAATATGTATCATTCACAAAATCCTGAATCTACATAACACTATTTGAAGATGCTTACAAATTAGTAGGAGAAATTGAAGCTTTCATATTCCTTAAAGAAAAATTTAAAGGATTATATTATACATTACTTTAATTATTTGAACCTTTATCAGTTTTTTGAAACAGTACATTCACCTTTGCTTCTGAGAAAAATGCAATAAAATGAGAAAAAAAACCCAGGATTTTTTCCTTAAAAAAAAGGACACATTTAAGCTTTAAATGATACTTTTTGTTTAATGAAAGAATACTGAAAAAAATGTGACATTCAATGTTACTTGATATTTCAGGCTTTACAAGCAGCAGGTCATTTAAACAATGTTAAATAAAGTCATCCAGAAACTGACCTCCTCCCTGGGTGAATGCTGGGGACTTGTTTCCATGAAGTATCTTGGAGAACTACAGGAACTCCTGTCATTGTCTGATGACCCATTCATCAAAATTGCTTTTGAAATGTCTTTTTTTCCTGTAAATATTTTCTTTTTATATAAACATATAGTTTGATATACATATTTTTTAAAAATATTTGTTTTCAGTTTTCCCAGGAAGCGTCTTTTTTATGCATTCATTTTATGATAGTTTTAGTCACAAATGACAATAATATGAAAATATGTGCCCTATTAAAAATGATCTTCTTACAGGTAAATCAATCAATGTATCATAAATTGGTAAATACCTGTACATGTATCTCATTACCAGTAAAAAGATTATTACATGTACTTAGCTTGCATAAAGTAAAACACTTTTTATACATGTTGACATTCACACATTTACTGGGTTATAAACAGATTGATTCTGGCTTTTGGATTAGTTTGGTATATCTGTGTGTGTTTTTATGCTGAATACATTTTTCATTGTATTTTAAATGTCTACACCCCACCCCCATCCACCCACTCACCACCACCACTTCACACTTTTCAGCCACATTTTACATCATAAAACATAGGAAAATTCACCACATCATTTTCTTTTAAACTATCCTGTTTAATTTTCTACATTTGTTGCAATTTTTTGAATGAAATTTACACCTACCATGGGATTCCACTGGAACTGGGGTGCACGGAAAGCTCATTCCATTTTGTTTCTCTAGAATTTCCAAAAATTCTGCCCTGTTAAATGTAAATAGGACCTTAAAACTTTCACAAAGCATATCTGGTTAATTCACACTTGAGTATTTAATCTATATTCATTTGATACTATGTTGTGTTTTTTTTTTTGGAAACACAACAAAAACTAAACAACATATTTTACATAAAACTGAAGCTGTATAATTATGAAAGTTTTAAAAGAAACAAACATACAACTGAAACAGTAAAATTACAAATGCTTTTTAAAGAAATCATACTGTGCTTGCATAAAATAATCATCAATCAATTTAAAAAAAAACCTACTTTGATTGTTCATCCCGAGCCACCGCCATCTCCACATGGTTAGATGCCGATGCTTGCCGCAAAATAGACACTGCTCTGAAGATATTACAGCATAGAATTTGTTACCCCAAACAAATATTCCTTTCTCCTCTGCTTATAAATTTTGCTGAAATTTGACTTAATTAATCTAGTCATTTTGCAGATGGTTTTTTTATTCCTGGGCTGATTAAGGATACCAACCTGTCATTTGTTATTCCTTGAAAACTTTCATCATTGACAGACAAAATTTCATCACCTTGTTGTAATCTACCTGTAAAAAGTCAAGTTTTGTATTGGTAAATTATACAACTAAATACAATGGATACCTATAATGTTGACCTTTCTTAAGTTACTATGAAATAAATTAGCAAAACTGTGTGAATTCTTTATTTCTTCCTTGAAGATGACAAATCAAAATAGAAACAATAATAACCTAATACGTGACTCAAGTCAAATAAAAAATCTGCATCTTTCTAGCTTTATTAACATTAAAATATGCAAAATCTCAATGTTCATTGTTACCATCTTGATCTGCCAGACCTCCAGGGAAAATTCTCTTGATAAAAATCCCATTGACCTCTCGTCCGTCTCTGCTACATCCACCACAGATCTTGATCCCTGACAAGAAAAACAACAACACTGCAACATTTCACAACACACATCTATACTTATATTTTGGAGTTTTTTTTACTTAAAAGCAGGTGCATTTAAATGTCTACACAAACCAAGCAAAAGTTAATACAATTTACTGTATACATGGAAATTTTTGCCTCCATTCTATTTTGCCCTTTTAACCCTTGAAGCAAATGGGTGAATTCAAAACAAAGCCAATTCAAAGTAAACAACATTATCTCTTAGATATAACTGCACTTGGGGGAATTTAAAACAGGTTGTGTCATGGTGTGGTACTTTTTTTTTTTCGATGTTAGCCATACTTTAAATCAGATAGAAAAGCGTTGGCTGAATTCCAACGTACTATAACTTCTAGGGGGTGGAGCTTAGTCATACAATAACTTCCAATCTACTGTACAATAACTTCCAAAAGAACTCAATACTTTTTGAATATTTTTTCTTCAACTTCTGTAAGTATATACAACCTATGCAGAGGAAACATGAGAAACCTCACAAAATTCAACCCCCTCCCTTCAATCTGAAAATGCATACATGAGAACCATTTTCAAGAGGAATACATGGAAACTCAGTTAACTGCTTTAAACAAAAAATTTTAAAAATACACAGAATTTCATGTATTCAAATTAAAACAGATACATTAATTGTAATTGAAATGTGACAATATTGAAAACATGTGCATTTCCTTGAGTTACATGCAAACGGATACATGTTCGTATATGCATGTATTTGGACTCTTTCACACTACATTCCATAATTCTGACATGTGGCTACAGTACTTGACTCAGATTTCCTCAGGACATGCAAGCATATTCCTAGTAAAAGTAATGTAGCGGATCAAAGTGCGGACGGATCAAAGTTTCCAGTATTGTGCCTGTGTATATTACGGTTTTTGAAGTACTCATACTGCTTAAATTAATCCATCAAATACAATTGCACACTTGTTTAACATCGCTGATTTTTCAATGCAACCATCTCCTTCGTACTTTCTGCTTTGTTTGAACACCATGTACACTTACAATGGACCAAGGCCTGTGATGTAATGTCGCGTGCAGATTGGTGCTGAAGGAGTGACTATGCAAATGACCATGACACAAGACATTTACAGACACTTTCTTTTGTTTGTAAGGGATTTTTTTGTACAGAGAGGCGTGACAGTCTCGTCGCAGTCAACTCGACTGCCACGCCTCTCTGTACAATAAATTCCTTACAAATGAAAGAAAGTGTCTGTAAATATAACTTAAAATGTTTGCAAGTGTGAATAGGCGAGAATCACATGGTGTGAAAATACCCTGTATATAGTGATTAGTGCGATTTGACTGACATTTCCTGACTTAACAGAATAAATACATCTTAGCTGGGACTGTTACATTTGCTTGAAATAAAACAACAAGAGGATAATACTAAAATACCTATGCCCTTGCAGCAGTTGTCAAATGTTATTAGTTCTGCTTCTCTATACTCCTCAGGCCTGAAAAAAAATCAGAGTCATTTAATATCCATCTTTCACGCAAAATAAATAAATGTAAATAAAACCCTCTTTTAAAACTCACTTTTTAAATATGCACTTGAAGAATATTATTACTTTTTATGATCAAAATATTGTTATGAACTGAAATCTTACTCATTATCTTCTGAGGGATGAGCCTGATGCTCAACTTCAGTTAAAACCACTGTGGAAGACATTGAATATTCTAGCTCATCCTGTGAAAAATATTTACAAATTAAACATTGATTCCAAATGCAAAACTACTACAGGGATTAAAGAAAATCATATTCCTCATTCACATTTTGGTTTTATAGTTCAGCACCATAATGTGGACAGCAAAGAAATTCAACAATATTTATGTCAATATCACTGGTATAACCAGAGGAAAATATTTTATACCCAGATTTGTAGTTAGAAACCCCACAAGTCTCAATGGGTCAAGGTAAAGAACAGACATATAGACTGATCTAATCAGTGTGCTTCTATTTGAAAGCAATGAAAGTAACAATTTCTAACTATGTAAAATGTAAAGGTATCCCTGAGTTACACAGAAAGTCTTGAGAAAACAACTTTGGTGTGGTTTCTGACCTCTCTAGATTTACCATGTTATTCTGGGATGCCTCTACATTTTACATAGTTAGAAATGGGCGCTTCCATTGCTTTCAGTTTCAGCTCTACGTATCAAGGAAGTTTTGGTTTACTGCATGTTTTATACAGCAAGTTCAAATCGGCAGATGATTGAGGGGTGTTATTCAATCATTTTTGAAGCTAGATCTCACCCGACACCAGTTGGAATAGTGTAGATATTGATTAGAATCAAGTGTGAACTGAGGCACCCCCTGAAATTTAAGATGGCAACCTTCACTCTTTTTATATTCAGTAATATATTTTCTAAACCTGCTATTTAATTTATGCGATTTTTGATTTTTATTTTAACGAGTGTATTCAGACACACCTAGAAATACACTAAATACACAATCCTGAAACCAAGCGGCTATAGGTATAGCGGCGCACATTGTTTACATGTCTCTTTTTAAATGCATCACATTTAAAAATAATAAGTTGTATTACTAAATAGAAAATATTACCATTTGAATGAAGAATTTTAGGCACCATTATTTTTGTGGATAATTGTTTTTTCATATATAAAATTTACACAATACACTGTCGAAATAAGGGCACACAAGGATATAAAAATAATGTTGTTTTGAAGCCAGAACACCCTTGCAATATTTATTTTTAGTTCATTCGACCACCCAGGGCACATTGTGTTAAGGATAATTTATCATTTCCTTTCTGCATGTAAAATCCTTCCCAAATTAGCAACCTAACAATGAAGCCAAATTACCATTAAAACAGTTACAGAACACGCTGAGGATATGAATATTAGAACTCTAAACTGTCTCTCCCAACAAAAACAAACATATTCCATAGAGACCTTAGCTTTGTATTACAGTGTTCCCAACCATTAAGCTACAAATACCTTTTTTTAAAAGGTCGTACACACGTAGAAAATGTTTTCTTGTTTAAGTTCAGTTCAACTTCAAGTTCTTGAAGTTCAAGTTGAAGTTGTTGATAATATGAAACCGGAAACGGAACCGCTTTTCACGCATGCACCTGAATCGTAAAGAAAAAAAATCATTACCCAAAATCCCTTGCCGTACTTAACTTTTTCTTCGCCGCCATAGAAGCGAAAATTTACGATTTAGGGCTTTATTTTGTCAAGCAATTTTTTTAGATGCATACAGTAACAGTGTGTGAGTTAATTAAGCATAATCATGAATGACTGATTGTTTACTTACCCGCCTGATTAAACGGAAGTGATGATGATGGGACCGGGTAATCAAAATTAATGTTTACTTGGTTTCTAAATTTTTTTTGTCTTGTATTTCGATAATTTACAGACTTGAAGATATGGGAACTCGAGGGATACCTCTGGATAAGGTAACTGTTCTTTTACACATGTTTTTAATCAATATTGTTATGACAATCTAAATTTCCAAATCAGCTGATCAGTAGCCATGCAGTTAGGGTACTTGTAAACAAAGCATTTACCATTACTATATATAATAATTGATGTACCGGTACATTATCTGAAGTAATGGAGCAATGCAAAATATTCGAATTTGCTGTACAACCATACACGATTTTTGATTTTGGAATGTACTAATGTATTGTATGTTAATAGATGCTTGACGTATTCTAATGTCACTGTATATTAGAACACTGCACTCTTTCCATAAGAGATACCTGTGGATTCACTGTCATTGGTGTTTGATGGTAGTGAGTCTGTATCTTAAGGCCAAATAAAAAAATATGTGTGGTTCCGGTTACCCGACCGTCCCTATTTTATACCCCCGACCCTAAACTTTTTTTGGGCAATTTTCATATTTTTTCCGGAATTTTCCCCAATTTCCATCAATGGCTCCGGTTTAAGTTTTAGTTTCAGCAATGACAGCCCCCCCTTGCACAACATAGTGCAAGTGTTTATTATTGTTAAATCCAAAGCAAGCTAGCATGTAGGTGTCCCCTACCAATATTGACTAGTGTATTATCACACCACATCTAAATGTCATTTGCAAAGTAGTGATAAGTATTATATTATTTAGAAAAATTAAGAAAATCATTTTGTTAAAAAAAAAAAAAAAAAAAAAAAAATTCCTTACCTACCTACCCTAATTCTTTTGGAGGTGTAACCGGAACCACACATATTTTTTTGTTTTTGACACTCCATAGTAATAATATTAATTAGCATCTAGATATTACATGTAGACATGGATACTTAGATCTTCCATTATACTACTGAAAGGTAAACAGACATACTGTGGAAGAAACTGACCTAGATTGATTAGCCCAAATATTTTGACATGTCAGTCAAATTTCAGAGATTGACTTATAAGCCAATGACAGGCTGACCCCCAAAATAACACAGCTTTATCATTTCCAACATGGTTTAACAGCAGAGAAATAGAAAATGGAAATAACATCAGAAATAAAAGTCCTAAGGAATGTGTAGGTTAACTGGTTTAGCTAATTATTTATCATTTCCCACACAGTAGTTGATTGGAGGGAAGATATGATTCTTCCAGCCATAATCAGTAAATTTTGTAATTTATAAATTTCTCTCTTGAACATGCAATTATAGAAATTTGCTAAGAGTAGTCTCACTATGCAAGAGCTATCAAATAGATTTTCTGGGCACTTTCCCACAGGCAGGTGACAGAGTCAGATTCATTTGCCCAACATGGTCCACCTCGATTTTCATAATCATAATTATCATGATAAAATATTTTTCGTCACTATTTAATCCCAGTAGATTGACAGCTAGCTGTGTTCTAAAATTGTACAAACTACTATCTTGATTTTTACTATCGGTATACCCATATATCGCAATTTTTCATTGCGTGATACGTATTGTGATACGGAGACTAAAACACCGGTATTTGGTACATAGCTATAAATTCCTGAAATTATTCATTTATTTGTTCAAACTATTGAATGACAATTATAGGAAGTGTAAAAAAAGGTTGAAAACAGTTAAACAACGGCATCAAAATATGCTATATATATTAAATAAATGAAAATTTAAAAAGTAAAGTTATGTTTTATAGCATATTTTTAAGAAATATGATGGAAATTCATTGTAAATTGTAGTAAAAATTATGTGTAAAAATATCATGATTTATCGCGATATTAGGCCAGGTAAAATTAATCTTTAGATTCTCATCCCCGCCTGCCCCTCTCAAAGTGCCCGCCCCGTTGTTTTTTATTTTGCTTTTTGGGTGCCAAACGTATTATTTTCATGTATTTTTATTCAGCAAGAAATTCTTGCTGAACCCAGATTCTTAGAATCTGGGTCAAAATTTAAGAGTTATCTCCCGTCTGTATTAAAAGTCGCGTGGCGCTATTTATAGCAAAAAAAACTACGTGAAGAATGGAGAAATATCGGCAATAAAAGCAGTTTAAATATGTAAGGAAAAGATAATTTGTCGGTAAAGAGAAGGCAGAAATCAAAAATAACATATAAACACATCTAGATACCATCACTGGCATGGGCAAGTTTTTAAAGAGATTTTAACCAAGTAAAAACAGACGAAGAAAATACACATGGTCAAGTTTTAAATAACGATCTCAAGTTGTATGTGATTTTGGATTAAAAAAAATAAAACATTGTCCAAATATTTTAGAGAATAATAGTGCTAAGGAAATGTTAAATCTTAAAACTGTTCAGGCCTAGGCTTTTCAGTAGAATTTTTACAGATTTACACAATCCTGTTTTGCAAATATATATATTTTAATGTCGAACATGTCAAATCTCAAGAACGATTGAATGTATGAGGACAGTGGAAATCCGTGATATATCACATAGAACAGAAAGAGTTGTTGGTAAAATATAAGGTATTTGGGGAAAACAATTAGGATCAGCACCTCATTTTGTTTGGCGTGTGCCGTATCTGTGTACTTGATTATTTGTTAATAAAACTAAAAATATTTTAATTTTCTATAACAAAAATCTTCTGTAGATATTTAAAAGAATATGAAAACAATAAAATCTATTCATATTGGCATAAACATAATGTAAAAGTTAAGTGTACGAATGTTTTGTTGATACTTTCATTTATAAAAAATAAAAAATAAAATCCGCCCACCCGCCCCAATTTTTTAGCAAATTAGGATGAGAATCTAAATTTTAAATTTATATGGCCTTATTGGGAAAAAATCATGATATATCATGATACAAAATTTTTGCCGATACCCATCCCTACATCAGCCCCTGCAGTGCAGCTGTTCAGTGTTTACTGATTATAATTAAAGATTACTTAATTAGTTGTGTAACATTTGTCAGGACTTGACCACCAAGGAAACTGTTGTAAATAAACCACAGTAGGAAGTCTACATCATGTTAGATGGTGTCTAGTAAATAAGAACCCTGTTGTATTCGGACCATGGCATAAAGCTGATGCACACGGACAAAATTTACCCTAGATGCGAATGATTTAATGGAAATATTTACAAATCGATGGCACTTAAAAATCAGATGGAAATATGAAAAATAGGGAAAAGGTGTGTTGATCGCAGATTTTAAAAAAGTGGAAAAGGGGGAGGTGGGTCCATCCCCCAAGTGCCTGTGGAATCATTTTAAAAAAAAATCTTCTGCTTAAGGAAGCTCTAAACACTGCACACTAAAGAGTTCTATTTGTAGGGTAGTTTTATTGAGTTAGAGTGATCTGCCTGAAAAATAGAATAAATGGGAATCTACAGTTAATGACATAATTTCTTATGAATTAAAGTATTCTTAATGTTATGTTAGACCAAGATTATGTAATTGAATACATTATTTCCATTAATTTTCCGGATGCAAGTAAACAACAGTGATATCTGTTAACAAATAGTTCATTGTCTTTGAACATTTTTTCTGCAGAAATGAGGCAGGCACCCTATGTTAAAAATGAACTATATATACAGAATATGTGCACCTTTATATGATATATTTTTCTCGAAGTCCAAAAAGCATTTTTCTTTAGTGTTTAGAGCTTCCTTAAGAACAGCAAAGCCATGATGAGTCATATTATTACAGAAGCATCCTTAGGTAGTGTAGATTCAAATTTGTTCAAATTTAGGGTGGGCCACAGTGAGCCATCAGAGTTTAACATAGGAATACATGGGGGGGGGGGGGTCTTTAAAATTCTTCTGTTTTAAGAACAGCAAAGCCATGATCAGTAATATTGATATGGAAGCATCCTGTGGTAGTGTATATTTAAAGTTTGCTCCCCCTGTAAACTTACTCAACTGATATCTGCTTCTTCCTAGCCAATGTGCTCAGGTGAGCAATGTGGCCCATGGGGCTCTTGTTTTTTTTGGTGGTGGGGCTGGACTAAGTCCACGCCTGATAGATGTATCCATTGAAAAATATGAAAATATTTAGGATAGATTTGTACACTTAAACCTAGTCCAAACACTAGTGAATAACAGTAATTTAGCTAGTGGCATGACCTTGAATATATTACTTTTACAATGTGAACATTGATCATTGCTGCATGGACTGTATAAGGTATAACATTGTAGAGTAACTTAGAAAGCCCCTTTGATTTGATCATTTCAGTGTAGCTTTACTCCCCCATTGAGATCTGTACCATGTTGTTTATGATGTGAGCAGATTTGATTCTACTCTTGAGGACTCTTGTCTTTTGTTGATTAAAAAGTAAGGTTTCTTTATAAAGATTTACTGAGTGTAAGAGGGTTTGAACCCCCTGCAGATTAATGAGGTTATTTAGTTGAACATAAGTGTGGTAATTATGTACAGGTTATTAATGTGAAGAGAGGTAGAATCCTATTTGAATTATCACTCATTTACCCATGTGTTTAATATTTGTGTTTTGTTGAATTTAAATTTTCAACTGTAGTGTAAAAATTTCAAATTGATGCATTATTCAATGGATTTTCTCAAAGCACAGCTGTAAACAAATAAAGAATCATCATTATCTAAGATAGATTTGTACGGTGATGATGTAAAATTCCATGGCAACAGACAGTTGATGATAGAGATATATTGTCACTAGGTAGTATTTAACTCTGGTACAGTTTACATAACTGTAAGGCTTTAATTTCATCGTTCTTCTCTTATTTCAGCCTCTCATGCTACTCAGTAAAACAGATGTGTTCATGTTAAACCTACATTATTTTTGTAATGAAGAGATGAGCAGGACTGCTTGTAGTTTATATTGATTTTGTTCAGTCATTTTGTATAGGACCAATCTTCTGAACTACAGTATTGTTAGTTATTTTTGTACATTGAACTAATTATTCATGTTCTCGAACAAATTAGACATGAAATGGTGTGGTGCACTGCCTGTCCCATTATGTGAGGTGATAATTTTAGTGAAAATGTTTTTATGTTGACTTGTGTATATACATATACATGTAGTGCATGTTTATTATTATTTATAACTGAGCAGGAAGTAAAAGGGAGGAAAAAGATAGTATATTTATTAGCTAACCTGAGCTGTCCAGCATCAGTCTGTCTCTCCAGCTGTCTTTCTATCCATCTGTCTGTAAACTTTTCACATTTTCAACTTCTCCTCTAGAACCAATGGGCTAATATCAACTAAACTTGCCACAAAGCATCCTTGGGTGAAGGGGTTTCAAAAAATAGAAAGAACGAGGGCGCTTTTGATTGGCATTTGGCAGGAATCTGGACGCACTTGAAAAGTGAAAATTTCATTGATCTGTCACATGAAATTTTAGCATTCTTTTGATGTATCGGGTTCCTGTAAAATAGGAAAGGGAAATATTTTCCCGATATTGTATTTTGATTTGCTAAAAAAGAACTTGAAAGTTGGCTAGATGAGTCATTTGGTACAAAATGTTACATTTTTAAACAGGTTTTTCTAAAAATTTGCCATCTCTGGGTCATCTCTCCATGATTTTGAAACATTATTTGTGTGCATTTTAATTCAAAGAAACTAACAAACATTTGTAAAAAAATGGAGAGAAGACCCAGAGACGATAAAAAATGAACTTTTTCCAAAAAAATTCCAATGTGTAAATGCGGTGCTTCATTGTCGCTTTAAAAACATTAAAGTGTGTGTAGTGGTGATAGCTCAGTAGTATGCATTATCCGTCCAGTGCAATGAAAAAGAAATATTTTTGGTTCGATCCTCGCATGGAGCATTAATGTTTTTTTTAGCACAAACAATCAGTTCTTTTGTCAGTTTAATTTTATGAACTGATTTATTTTCAAATAGATAAATTCTGGTTCTGTTGCACCGAAAGCAAAAGCAATTCTTTCAACCTACTGATACTTTAGTATGTACTTGTAATTGCATTTAACTATACCCTATATGTGTTTATTATTTATGTGAAGTGTTATTAAGTTTTAGATGTAGTAATTATTAAGATAAGCGGACTGATATATTAAAATTTGGCAAAGTATTTCAAACTAAATGTAACATTTTCCTAAATTTCTTTAAAAGGCTACTTCTCCTTCAGTTTTGGTCTGATATTAGAATAACTTGGCAAACAAGTAGACTACACTAAGATACATAATTTAGTGCATCGGTTTTTGATTTCGATGAACGGTGTTGCCGTGGTTACTAAAAATTGAAATTTCTTTGAAATTTCTTTAAGAGGCTACTCCTCCTTCAGTTTTAGTCTGATTTCAATATAACTTGGCGCACAAGTAGACTACATTAAGATACATTATTCTGTTTATTGCTGCGTGTTGCAAATTTCAAATCCAAGTGCTACTTTTCCTTTGTTATATGTAACAGACCAGTAGAGCTACAGTCTCATCAGAGACTTCTGGTTAGTACATGTATTGAAGAATCTTTTGATAATGTAGATTCAAGTTTGTTCCAATCATGACCCTGGGGGTAGGGTGTGGCCATAATAGGAAATCCAAGGTATATAGGAATAATCTTTAAAATTCTTTTGAACAGCAGTCTTTATTTGTCATATAATTTTCAAGCATCCTCAGGTGACTTAGATTCAAGTTTGTTCAGATCAGGATCGTCAGGAATAGGTTGAGGTTACAATAGGAGATCAGAGTTTTACAAGGGAGTACTCCATATATTAGGAAGAAAACTTTTCAAGAGAAGCAAGACTGCGCTTAATCATATTAATTTGCAAAATATACCTAAGTTATTTGAATTTTTTTTTTTAAAGTTGGGCCAATTTTACAAAATGCATGTCTACCATATATACTCACCTATGAGTAGGTCCGCCTATATAAAGTAGGCTGTAATTTTTTAGCTTATATTGGAGGGATTTGTCATTGACCTGCTTATAAGTCCGTACAACTTTTTGCCAAAATTGGTTGACCATTTCAAGTCAATGTTCTAATTAATGTTTTAACTTATGTTTCAAATAATATTTTTGAGAAATAATGCCAAAGCTTTATATTTATGAGGTACTCAATGTCAAAGCCATAACTGTTCTTTCTGATTCAATAATGCTACACTTGATCTATTATTGGCAATTATCATGATTACGTTTTCATTCGGTTACCTAAGTAATAAAATATGTAAAAAATACTTTACTTTTATGCATAGTGTTAGAATACATAAATAAAATAATATGTCCAGACTTTTGTCGATGATAATCATCGGTCTACATTTTGCCATCCAGAAAAATACCCTTTTTTAAGGACTCGTCTATATGTTGGACATAGATTTTTGGACCAAAATTTACCCCCTCCCCCCTCAAAAAAAAAACTGACTTAAAGACTAGTATGTATGGTACACTACAGGGAAGTCCAGAACAGCAGGACAATGTTGATCATATTGATATTAAAGAATCCCAATGTTGCGAGGATTAAATTATAGCTCCCTTAGAACAAGAGTTTGGTCCACAATATGGAGTCAGAATTTTTATGAAATTAAAGAGGAAAATTTAAAAAAAAATCTACTGATGAAAAACAGTTGGGCCAAATATTTAATCTTATCATCAACTGAAAAAAATGTTGATTTAGATTTAATGCATATATTTTATAGTTGTACTTTATCTTATTAAAATGGAAAATGCAGCTGCTGAAAATCTGTCACATTTCCTCAAATGTGAATCTAAACCCCACCCCCACCCTACCCCCAATAAATGAAATATAACTTTCTTGGATTATTGATGTAGCATGAACAGTGAATGAATTTTTCTGTAGTTAAAAGATGAGATTTATATCATGACCTAATTTCTTAAAAACAAATGAAAAGTCCTTGATCTCAGAGTAGATCCAATTTCTTCATGTCTTCCAGATCAAATGTATTTTTCTCAAAATATTTACTTTCTGTAGGTGCTCATATCTGGAGATGAAAGTACAAATTAGGGCAGTGCATCTTATTGGAAAAATAAATAAATAAATCCCATGAGAGCTGAAACACTGATGTGTGTTTATCATATCCATTTGTTCAATGCACTCAAGGGAAAAAAGAAAAGATAAACATGCAGATATATTCCATGTTTTGTTTAGAAGACACTATAACACATGTACCAGCTAGGTTATCATGACAACTATACGGGCCCCCTGACTTGAAGGACCTACTGACACCTTCACTTGTGTGGATGCAATGTTTTTTATTGTTTTACTGCTTGTCAAGATTAGTTTCTGTCAGAACACTAGTCCAAGTTTAACACTCAAAATTTCAATTGTTATAAGAAAGTAGAATGATAAGATGATTGAACTAAAGAGCAACAGCTTAATTATTGAACTTGTCTCCAGTCTGAGATATTACCAAAGATTGCAAAGTACTTGTTTTATTTTAAACATATTTTGAAGGAACATATTTATACAAAAAAAGTCCCTGGAGGATAAAATTATATCATATAGATCTAAAAATCAAAGTTTAAATGTTACAAGACTTCTAAATAAGAGAAATGTTTAGATTATTAACTTATCAAATCTGAAATAGACTAGCTTATGGAATGGCCATAATATTTCTAAAATTTTGTCATTCGTTTATTTTGCAGATCAATTTACGTTTGATTTTGGTGAGTGGAAAAACAAAGGAGTACCTGTTCTCGCCTAATGACTCAGCAGGAGATATAACAGAATCTGTGTATAGAAACTGGCCATCAGGTAACAGCCATTGTCAAGTTGAATATGTTAAACATACAGATTGAATTTTAAAGTGGTGGTGCAGAGAATAATTAGTTCATTGGGCAAATAGGATGTTTATGTCTTCCCTTCACTGGGGGAGACATATTGCTTTTGTTGTGTTTTTTTTTTGTCCAGGCCCTAACTTGAGAACACTTTAACATCAGACTTCAACTTGGAACATGGAAAGTTGGATGCATAAAAGTTTTGGCATGTGAATTGAAATTTTTGTCTGTGTAAAACTTTTTGATTTAATTATTTTAAGCAGTATCTATGCAAGATGGATGACATAAAAGAGATTTTTACAATGGTCCATGATATTATCCACAGGATTCATTAATGTTGCCCATTATAAGAAACCAAAGTTGGAAGGGTAGAGTTTCTTGTAGCTCACCTGAACTGAAAGCGTGAGCTTTTCTGATCGCATTTTGTCTGTCGTCCATCTGTCCATCCATCTGTAAACTTTTCAAATTTTGTGACTTTTTCTCCAGAACCACTGGGCCAATTTCAACCAAACTTGCAACAAAGCATCCTTGGGTGGAGGGGATTCAAGTTTGTTCAAATGAAGGGCCACACCCTCTTTCAAGGGGAGATAATTAAGAATTAGTGAAAATTTGGCAGCATCTATTAGAACATCTTCGCTAGCCAAGGGTTTCTGATACGCTACTCTCCTCATAAGCCCTTGGCATACGGTGTTAAAAAAAGTTGGGATTTTTTTCTCAAGTTGTGATTGGAGTTGATCGACATCGTTCGACCAATCAGATATTGTTTTTTGTAAATGACGATATTTGCGTTTGGGATATATCTTGACTCTTTAATATCGGGAATGAAAAACGCAAGTAAACAACGATCTGTAAGATAACATGCCATTCTATGAATAGCTATATGGTGTCATCCAATATCTTAAGCTACGTGCAAAATATGTGATTAAGAATCTGTACTGAAGATGTAGATTTGCATTTTAACATGTTTAAATAACAAATTAACATAACTCAATACCTTCTTGTTATTTATTCTTTAAAAACATTATGTTTTTAAATATGCTTTTTATTTCTGTCGATGACGCAATCTGTGCAAACCTGGTAAGAATCGTGATCACGTGACGAAAAAAATCCCGTCTTTTGTCAGCACCGTATGCCAAGGGTTTATGAGGAGAGTAGCGTATCAGAAACCTTTGGCTAGCGAAGATGCTATTAGAAGTTCTCAAGAACCACTGGACTAAAAAAGTTGAAACTTAGCTAAAACCTTCATTAGATAGTGTAGATTCAAGTTTGTTCAGATATGACCCTCAGAGGTTAGGGTGGTGTGATCAAAGTTTTACATGGATATAAATAAGAAAAATCTTTAAAAAAACTTCTCAAGAATAGGAAAGCCAGGAAAGCCATGAATAATCATATTTATATGGAAACATCCTCAGGTAGTGTTGATTCAAGTTTGTGCAAATCATGAACCTGGGGGGTAGGGTGGGGCTACAATGGGGATCAAAGTTTTCCATAGGAATACATAGGCGAAATCTCTAAAAAAAATCTTTTGATGAAGAACAGCAAAACCATGATTGGTCATATTTATATATAAGTATCCACAGGTAATGTATGTTCAGGTTTGTTCAAATCATGACCCCTGAGGGTAGGGTGGGGCCTCTGTGGGCAATCAAAGTTTTACATAGAAATGTATAGGAAATATATAGGTAAAATATTTAAAAACCATCTTCTGAAGAACAACAAAGCCATGATCAGTCATACCTATACTGAAGCATCCACAGGTAGTGTATATTCAAGATTGTTCAGATCATGACCCCCTAGGGTAGGATGGCACCACAATGGGCAATCAAAGTTTTACATGCTAATGAATACTTAGAAAAAATCTTTGAAAATCTTTTCCTCAGGAACAGCAAAGTCATGATTAATCATATTTATATGGAAACATCTTCAAATAGTATTGATTCAAGTTTGTTCAAATCATGACCCCTGGGGGTAGGTTGGAGCTACAATGGGTAATCAAGTTTTACATGGGAATATATAGGAAAAAGAATCTGATGATGAAGAACAAGCAGGGCCATAGTTACTCAGGTGAGCATTGTAGCCCATGGGCCTCTTGTTTAATACATTAGGTTTATTGACAACTTGAGGAGATGTTCTTATTATCTCAATGATTGTTTTCCTAAGAGGAGATGAAAGTTGTAAAGAGCAACTATTAACATGATATGAAAAAACAGGATCGGGGGGGGGGGGGGGGGGGGGGGAGGTCCTGCTTTCAGTAATGATTAATTGATGTAGTAGGTTGCTGCTAGGTTGGGCATCAGTAGTAAGATATGTATTTTTGAGGGGGTGGGGTGGGATATCAGATGGGACTTTATCTCAGAGTATGGATTACAAGAATGTGCAAGTTTTCAACATTAATTAGGAGATATAATGAAGAAGGAATGAGGGAGTATTTTATTAAAGGGGCCTGGACACACTTGCATTGTTTACATTTTAAATTTCTATGCTTATTCAAAAAATAAAACCAGTTAAATGAATTAAACTTGCATGAATATTCTTAGAATTTAATGACAACGACATTCTTCTTTACATCACGTCAAACATCTGTTTTTGTAAACGGCACAAGCTCTGTTATTGCTTAAGTTTATGTTTCACCAGATGTGTTCAATTTGTTAAACTCTGCACACATCACTGAGCGCGGACTGACAATACTGGTGAGTTGGTTTCACTTCCTCACATTTTCTGGATTATAGTTTTAATACTTTTCATAAATACACAACCGAATTTCTACTTTCCTTGAGTATTAAGGATAAAGTTTACTTTGTGAAAGTGCAAAGAGGTCAATCAAACGCATCCCGTTCATAGTTTCAATAATTTCCAGATAAAAGAAGTTTCTGAATATGCTTTTATTATATTTCCATGTGAAATGCTATAGCAGCATATAAGTCATGATATTATACAGAGAATTTAAGAAAATATTACCCCGGTAACTTCATATCTGTGTCCAAGCCCCTTTAAGTAAGTGCTGACTTAACATGATTAAGCATTTTCAGAATTAAAGTAGAAGCTTATTAATTCATTTTCCTCAATCCTTAGGGGCAAATGATGTCAGCACACCAATACAATTGGGTTTAGGAGAGGTAATATTGGACAAGGCTGGGAGATGCAATATAATCAGTCCCTTTTGCTTCAGCATTTGTAAATGTGATGTATTGATCACTGGGATTTTGCTGCAGTAATGCTTATCTGTGGGTCAAACACCAAGGTCTGTCAAGTGATTTGGAAAGCATTGTTGGATGTCAGCCCCTATCTTATAACACAATAAGCGTGTAGCCATTGACTGATAGACTTTGAAAGGAACATGATAGCTGGGGTTTTCTTTCACAGTGAAACTGTGAAGAGGGACCTGCAAATAGAGACAGAATTGTATTTCAGTGTGACAGTTATCAGAATGGGTATTTTGTATTGTATTGTGGAGATTAGAGGTGATTAATTAATAAGCACACTTCAAAATAGCTATAATACAACATCTTTGTACGACCACAAAAACCAAGGAAAGGAAGTTAAAAGATTCTACCATACCATTATTTGAAAATCAAAAGCTTGACTTTGTATATGAAATCTATTTTTGTACTTTTTATTACTATACAATGTGAACAATCAGAAGTATAGACATGTGGGGAAAAGTATGTAGTTAAAAGTCAGTGTTTGATCAATTCTTAGCTCTACAGGTCAGAGACCAGAAGAGCTTTTGCGGTAGTAAGGTGTCCGTTGTCCGTCCATCTAGCTGTCTGTCCGTAAACCATTTTTTAATATGCTACTCCTCCTACAGTTTTGGTCTGATTTCAGTTTAATTTGGCACACAAGTAGACTACACAAAGTTATATAATTCTGTGTACAGGTTTTTGATTTTGATGAATGATGTTGCCATGGATACTAAAAATAGAAATTTCTGTGAAATACTTTCAAAATGCTACTCCTCCTACAGTTTGGTCTGATTTCAATATAACTTAGCTCACAGGTAGACTACACTAAGGTACATAATTCTATGTATCTGCTTTGGATTTTAATGAATGATGTTGCCATGGTTACTAAAAATAGAAATTTCTGTGAAATACTTTCAAAATGCTACTCCATCTACAGTTTTGGTCTGATTTCAATAATACTTGGCACACAGTAGACTACACTAAGATACATAATTCTATATTTCATTATTGATTTCAGTGAATGGTATTGTCATGGTTACTAAATAAGAAATTTCTTTGAAATACTTTCAAAACACTTCTCTTCCTACAGTTTGGTCTGATTTTAATATAGCTTGCAAGTAGACTAATCTGAGATACATCATTGTTTTTTTTTTATTTTGATGAACGATGTTGCCATGGTTACTAAAAATAGAAATTTCTTTGATTCAGAAATACTTTCAAAACGCTACTCCTCCTATAGTTTTATTCTAATTGCAATAAATCTTGCCACAAAAAGAGACTAAACCAAGGATCATTATTCTATTTATTGCTGTTGCAAAGTTTCAAGTCCAAGTGCAACTTTTCTCTTCCTTTGTTATAATTTCAAACCAGTAGAGCTACAGTCTCATCAGAGACTTCTGGTTAGAATTATAATTATTGTAATTATTATTAGTATTAAGTGAGCCTTAGTATATTTTCACTGTAGGCCTTATATTTATCTATAAGACCGTGTCATTGCCCTCTGGAGTAAAATCTGATGATGTAGACATGATACTGGTAGAGATCTATGGGGAAAATTGCATATTTAGTGCTTACATCTCTTTGTAAAGAAATTTCAATTTTAATTTTGATTTTATAATGGTTATTGAGATACTTTGTTCTTTAATGTTGTATGTCTTATATTGTGGAAGGAAATTCAAACCTCCACTTAAATATTAAAAAAAGAATCAATCAATTTAATGTTTTGTAGTCTTAATTGTTTTTCTTTGATCCCTTGAACCAATATACATGCCATTTATAAAATCCTTTTTTAACACTTATAACATAAGAAGGTATACCTTAAAGAACTAATTATCCTGATTAGAAATATCCATGGAAATTTTATGATCATTTTTTTTTAAATGAACACTGAGAATTTTCCTTTGTAGAATGGGCTGATGAGAGTCTACCTGCCAGTAATATTTTACGACTTATATATCAAGGAAGGTTTCTACATGGAAATGTAACATTAGGAGGTATAATATATTTGTCACTTAAAGAATTAAAACTTTTCATTAAAACATTATTATTATAGGTAAGATAAAAAGAAAATGCAGCATAAAGCTGGATTATATGGTAAAGTTTTTTTATGAATCAATTTTGACAAAATGTCCTCACTATTAATTGTAATATATGTATGTGAGGATAATCCGATTTAATTACATTTATTATAAAATACTGAAAGAATGCATATATATATATATATTTATATATACAGTCAAACCTCATTATCTGGAACTCGATGGGGCCGAGAAAAAACCATCCAAGGGTTCGAGATACTGAGGGAAAAATACAATAAGAAAATAGTGGAGAGTACATTTTTCTCTTTCCTTGAATAATTACCAACCAAGAGCAAAAAAGTTCAATAAGTTAGATCAAGTTCATTACTTTTTCATAACTGTGACCTACATAGATGCATGATGTGATGCATAAAATATTTTTAAAAGCCAATGATCTTTATGATCACAATATTATCAGATAATCTGAACATGAAACGAAAGATTGCTGCTTGCTAGGCCATGTGACTTTGACATTACTAGGAATAAACTGTAATAATTAGGTCAATTGTTAGTAGGTGGAGAAAACCAAATTTTTGTATAAAATTTTAATGCTTTAGTAATAATCCTAGGATGCCAATTTTATGCAAAAGTAAAAAGACCAGATGAAGCCTAATACAGCTATTGATTTCATCCTGGTGTGCATTCAGTGGGTATATTGATTGGATGGTTACAGTAGGGTAATACATGCATCAAGCCAGAATAGTTGTAATCACAAAGTAAAATCAGTTGTCAGTATTCACCCTGGGGGCACCTAACAGGCAAAGACACCAGAACTTCTTATAAGTTCCAATAAAAAAAAAAACAGTATCAACTGAAGCATTCTTAATGACAGTCTATGATTCCGTGCCAGAGCTGGCTATATTTTTATGGAGGTCCCACTGGGAGAAAGTGGTTAGTAGTAGTGCTAAAAAGATCAGAGATCTTAATTTGGTTTGCAGAAGATTCCTCACGTTATTAATCAAACACATCCCTACTAGTCTGTCTTGCAGACTGACTAGAATTAAAAAGCAATGATTATACATTGAATGACAAGGCTTATGCAAAAAAAGTTAGATTAAACACTTCAGTTGAATTAAATCATGAAGAAAAGAAACGAAACTTGTATTTCACAAGATCTACATTTAAACATTATTATACACAAAGTATGATAAATCATCTGCAATGTAGCAACTAATATATTCTCCTGTCATAAGTTTTTGAAGAATTTTGTAATTCATATCTAAGTGAATGTTAGTATGATGTGATGTAGGAGGAAGATGAGATATTTTATCATTGCAGTGATGCTGAATGACTATGATGTAGATTAATCAGGGAACATTTGAATTTTTGTTGTTGTCATTGCAGCTTTGCAACTACCACAAGGGAAGACAACTGTCATGCATTTAGTGCCCCGGGAAAACTTACCTGAGCCAAACAATCAAGGTATGTATACTTTTATTTTTCTGCTATTATGAATATAAGTATCTTAAGAGTACAAGTTCTCATGAGAAGTCCTAACTAAGTACAGTGTCTCAAAGGAAACATTATAGAGCTCACAGGAGCCAAAGGCTCAAGGGAACTTTTCTGATTGAAATTTGTCTGTTGTTTGTTAGTGGCATTGTTGTAAACTTTACACATTTTCATCTTTCTTAGAACCACTTGACCAATTAGAATTAAACTTGGCACGAAGTATTCTGTGGTGAATGGAATTCAAATTTGAACAAATAGAGGGCCATGCTCCTTTCTAAGGGAGGAATGGGATGGGGGGGGGGGGATAATCAAGCAAATATTGGTTGGGGTTATTAAATTTTTTTTCTCAAAAATCACTGAGTCAGAAAAGATGAATTTTATGCGAAAACTTTTTGACATATAAATTGATGTTTGTTCAAAATTATGGCTCCTGGGGGATAAGGTAGGGCTACAAAAGGGGATATAAGTTTTAAAAGTGTATTGGTAAGGAAAAAAATCTTTAAATATCATGTCCTAATCAACAGTGGGACTAAGATTGGTCATATTAATATGCAAATATCTTTTTGTAGTGCAGATTCAAATTTATATCATGGTCACGATTTTCGTTTTATTATGCAAGCATCCTCAGATAGTGCATCAAAGTTTTACATAGGAATATATTGGGGGAAAAATCTTGAAAATCTTCTCCTCTCAGAATAGCAGTTAGTCATATTATTATGCAAGGATTTGTACAAAAACATGTCCTATTGGGGAAGGATTGAGCCACAATTAGGAATCAAAGTTTTTTGTGAGAATATATATATATATATATATATATATATATATATATATATATAAATGACCAAAAAAAAATCCTTTCAAGAGAATCAAGGCCAAACAATCATATTTATGTGAAAAAATTCCTAAATTATTTGGATTCAAATTAGTTTCAAATTGTAAACCCTGGGTTTAGGACAGGGTTAAATTTGAGAAAAAAATTTACATAATATATGTAGGAAAGAAAATCTTTTTAAAATCTGTTTTTCCTGAACAACAGGGCCATGTTAGTCACATTGGTAGTAAAGCAACCGCATGTTGTGTTGATTCAAGTTCAGACCCCTTGTGGCTCGAGTCGGGTCACAGTAGGGGGTAAAAACTTTTTAATGGGAATACAGAAGGAATAAATTTTTAAAAATCTTTTGATCAGAAGAACCAAGATAACTCAGGTGAGCATCGTGGCCCATATGCATGGGCCAGTAGTGATATCTGAACAAAAACTAGAGGTTCTGTGAGCACCGAGTTCCTGCTCCCATATGAGTATAATGGCAAAGTGTAATGGATGGAAAATGTAATGGACAGATGTATGGAAGTGTAAAGGATGGATACCCCTGTCACTGTACCCCCCCCCCCCCTTTTCAAGCAGGGGATATAATGAATTAACAAAAATACAAAATCTTGTTCCAATATCTCAATGTTAATCAAAAATAATCTTGAAAACCAACATTTTGTTGATTTAGAGTCTATAAAAGGCTATAAGTTTGATAACAATTAACAAAGATCCAAATCCCATGTAATCCAAACACATTCTCTGCCACTCCATATATACATCTAGGATACAAAAATCTTAGTTCAGTCCTTATATATTTTAATTTTTGGCAATAAAGGGCTATAACTCTAATAAAAAAGAAATCTCACGAAACTCAAATTTGTTCTGCAACAGATCAATAAGCAGAATTTTGATAAATTTCATTCCAATATTTCAAGGTGAAAACATTCAATTTCTGGTGAATAAAATTGACAGTTAACATATCGACAGATGATAGATTTTATTCCCCCCCCCCCCCCCCCCCCACCAAATGTAATAAATTGTAAGAAAAAAAATCACATTGTTTATTATTAAGCAAGAACCTTGTACCTTATATAGAAAATGATTATGTGAACATAGAGAGATGAGATAAAAGTAATTTAGAACTGTACAAGTTAATGAGATGTGCCATTTGAGGTTTAAAATATATATATATATATGATGAGAGTCCTTGACTATTTTATATAATGCTATTGTAAGTGCACAAAGTTTGTTGATAAAATGGAAATAGGTATGCCCTATCTTACTTCAGTGCAGAAAACAATCTGAGTCCTTGACCTATAAGTTATATGTCAAGGTCAGACTTGGGATTATATGAAATATACTTTTGAATTTTTTTGCTGAATTATACATGATTATGCAAGTAATACAGATGACAGCCCTATGAATCACAAGTTGACAGAGAATTAGTGCAATCATTTTTTTCTCATCTGTTTTCTAGGACAGTTAAAGAAAGACAAAAGTGGTGAGAGCAACTGTAGTAATTGCTGTGTCATAGTGTGACGCCTCATCTTCATTATCTTCTCTTCTTTTATCCAACATGGGGAGTGTTGGGCATGGATGGTGTTCTGACAATACTGACCACTCTGCCACAAGGACTCGACTACATATTGACTTTTAACTATAGCTAGTCTGTGATAACAATATATAGAGGGAACTTGTTTGGAGGACTTTCAGGGAGCATCTACAGACACATCTCTGCATTGATTTACAAGTCACAAAAGGAACAAGAAGTAAAAAAAAAAATACAATGTTAAAAGTTAGAATATCCTAGAAAATATTTGTTGATGAATCTTTCCAGTACCATTAATTCTGAATTCTAAGATGGTTCAGATCATGAATAATATTCCCATTTCTGGACTAATGTGCAAGTGTAACCAAATAAGGAATGTCAAAAGAAATCAAAACACTCTGAATTTAAAAATCAATATGATTATTTTTAAAGAAATTATGTACATTGGATTAAATTAGCCAGTACAAACCAAAGTCTCTGTGCAGTTATTGTAAACTAATTTGTGAAATAGATATAATGATGTTATTTTCTGAAGCTAGATGCAACATCATAATCATGAAAAAAGCCAGTAATGGATAACTGGCTACATTAGACATGGCAGTGATTTATAAGTCAATACAATGCTAGCTTCCTTGATGCTAGATGAGTATGGGCCCAGTTTTTGTCAGTTGTTCAGTGTTATTGGCAGAAGAATTCTTCAATGATTAAGTCCTTTTAGATCACACATAACAAAGAAAGGACACATTTCACTGCCAGAGGCTTATCAGCTCTTTCATTGACTCTGTTCTACAACTGACAGCCAGTGCCCTTACTGCACTTCATTCTTTAAGTATACATCTTAACTATATTGATTGTAATGTTTTCTAGAGAATTATATTGTTTTTAAAAAGTTGCATTTTCCATCACATGTGTTAAAATGTTTTTTATGTAATAATGAATTAAGTTGTTTTATTTGTTGCTCTTGATTCAGGTGAAATTGCTGCCTAGGTGATTGTGGAACTTAAAAAGTTTTCAGGATTTTAATGTTCTTAAATGAACACAATTAATTTGAAAGATAATGATTTTCTGTAGCACCAGTCCCTCTCAATGTTACTGTTACAGAAGTGAATGTCGCTACAATAGCATCAGACAAACTGGAGAAGCTTTAAATTTTATCTGAAAGAAATTCTTCTGCAAGCCAGTGAAATCTGGATAAAAACAGAAAAACTGTTATTAGGAAAAATTGTATATTAAATATAAATCACATGTTTTCAATAAAATTTTGAAAAATTGTGTATTTGATATGCAGAAGTGCATTTTAAACTGTCATGAATGGTGATACTACATTTGTATTAGGGATTATTTTTTTTCATTTTTAATGGAAGGAAAATGGAAGCATGAAAAATTTAAAAATGTGTAGGAAATATATTTAATGAAATTGTCAAAACCAGATATCTTATCTGATGCTTTAGAGAAAGATTGGATGACTTGATTCATTACAGGACATAATTAATGCTCATGTAACGATTTTCTTCTTTGCTTAATTATTCAACAGGAAATAGGGGTCTGCTTTCTATAATTTCTTACCATAATTCAGTCTCTATACATAATTAGTAGTTTATGATCTATTGAATTAATATAAAATACTAGGAAACAATACACAATTTTTTATTTCTACCCATGTTTTGCAAATTTTCAATATATATATATACATATACATTTGTATTATTCTCTGTTATTTTGTGGTACAGATTTTTGGAATGTGATGTCCTTTTTTCATGTACTTTCCTATTTAAGCCATTACAATTGCATTGCACTTGTAAAGCAAACCCCTTGAAGATTCATGTTGCACCAAAAGGCTGTATGAAGCTTCTATGAAACTAAAATTCTTTCTGCAACATAATAAACGTGCTAATAACCAATACAGTAACTATGTGGATGACTTAAATAGTAAAATAACAGTTGTGAAAATTAAAATGATTTCCAATATACATTTATTTATTCTTAGTTCTAGATAAGGAAAAGTGTTTTAAGGCAGATAAGTTATTTGAAATCATGCATGATCAAAGATACCAGTCAGACACAAATATATGGTATATTGGTTAAATTGATTGACATTTGCAATATTTTTGCTCAGATTAGTTTTGGTTTGTGTTGTCTATGTGTATTGACAGGAAAGATAGTGTATAATAAATTAGTAATACTATAAAGGAACCCACAACAGGAACAAACACACACAAGAGCTTTTTTTGCATGCTAAAATCTGAAAAGTCTGAAGTAGTCATTGATGTTAATTATTCAGTATTGTATGGGAGTGGTGAACATGTTTGAAAGGTGATGCTCTGCAAAATGACTTAACAAAATTTCATGGTTGGCCTTACTTTCAGAAAGCCTTGGCAGCTTTACTCTATGCAGTTTAAAGAAACAAACATTGATTTTCTTTCTTTCTTTTTTTTTTTTTTTTTTGGATATATCCAGCTAAATTTCTGACGACCACTTTTTTTAAAATGCAGTATTTTGGGGTGTGCTAAAGAACTAATTTTTTTTTTCCTGAATCATTACCTGCAATGCATGATATAAAGCAAAGGATATCCAAAATGCATATATTACATGTATATGTAAATATATATAACAGGGAAGAAAAATAAAGACTGTCTCAACAAAATTATAGTAAAAATAAAATAAGTACACAAAATGTTTTAAGGTATTGAAAATTGCAGGCATTTGAACCAACAGAACTTTTTTCTATAGAAATTTGCATTACAGTTGACATTTCTATATTTTAGGCTGAATTTTTATCATAATCATGTGATTCAGGTTTATTGGTGTATGTCTCTTTGTTTTTTATTTAACACATTAACAATACAGTGCGACGAATAGGAAAGTTTTTTCTTAAGTACAAATGTATTCTTGTAACATTTTCTGTACACACTCTGATAAGCCTTTTCTTTCTGACTCTTGTTCCTATATGATAAATATTTTTTGTAAGGAAATTTATAAACTGTGTCACTAAAGTGATAATTTCTACCAACTTTCATTTAGGAATTGGTGATGTTGAGCATTTTGTTATAAATATTTATGAGTATTGAAACATGGTTTGTGACTGAACAAACAATCCTTAAGAAAACATATTAATTGTGAATGTCAAACAGTCACAATTACAAGAGTGAAAGTTTTGTTTGCAGAAAAATCATTATCACAACTCCGAGGTTTTTGTGTCCAATATCCACAAATAGTTTGTAGAAATAAAAGTGACACAGAAACCTGTGGCTTGTGCAGAATGATTTCCTAAATTCATTGTCTTTGATATTCAACTTGTAAATTAGACATTGTAATTATCAGAGGAAGTCATCATTAAACAAGCCAACCTATAGATGACGAAGTTGGTGCTCAACTTAAATGTAGTGACTTGTTATATATCTGTAAATTTTGAATTGTATGTATATCTTGTTGATATGTTTTTCTTGTGTAGTTTAATCCAATTCCCCCAACAAGGACAATGCTGTGAAGTGCAATACATGTAAAGCGAATTTTTACTGTAAAAAAAAGCTGCCATGTATAAGAATGCAGATTATTGTATGTAGATGGAGAACTGCATCTCTTTTTTATTGTTAAAGAGACCGATTTTGTGATACATAGTTATGTTATTTACATTGATATATTGCTGTCATGTCGATGGCTGTCCAGGATAGCCTCTTTCTTGTCTGCTTTTAAATGGCAGGTCATTCAATGATACATGTTGTGGATCTGTCACATCATAAAATTAATTAAAATTTTTAATGATGAAACTGTCTTTTTTACATTTTAACACACCTTGAGGAACTCTCCCGGGGTTGGCATCCCAGGTTTAAGTTTTTAAAGTCAAACGTCCTTGCATCCAGAGGCCCCAATGACCAGAGAAGCATGGACGATAGATCTGGTGATGTACATTGCCAGATTTACTGCATCTAACTTTTTTTAATGAATAGTCAGTAAAAGTTTTTGGAACAGGCTTCTAGGCCTACTTGGACAAACTTGCCAGGATGATGCTTTCAGGGATGCATACTTCCACTTATTTCAGATGCTGACCTATATTTCCATGATAAGTGACCAATTTAAAGTTTTGGAACAGGTCTAGTTTCAACTAATTATACAGGCTACCTGTGCTAAACTTGCATTGATGAAGCATTTGGAATGCATGCTTTTTATAGAATTGCCTAGTGGTTCCTGTGACTTATATTTAATATTCTGGATTTCATTGAGACACCATGGGCAGGTTTCAAGTTTTTTGGAGTGTGTCCATTCTTATTATAAACCCTACAGGGACAAAGTTTGCATGGATATGTTAGTCTTACTTTGGATGCTGAAATGGGCCTAAATTTTTTGGACGTGGTTAGGTCAATATATCTGGTCAGGGTAGATTTATTCATGCATTGAGATGTGTTTTACTGAAACTTAAAATGAGAGGGAACTAAACTATCTTACTGAACAATTATTTTATGTGCCACTGCCCCACTTAACTTTGTATATCTTTAACTGTTTTAATTTTGCATAGGGTCATAAGGTGACACAGCGTTTTGTAATTTGTCAAATACATGTATTAAAAACAACTAGAAACTGCTGTCCTAAATATCGATATATCTACAGGAAACTTGCACCCTGAGAAGGAGGTATAACACAGCAGGAAAGACCATGATATCATACATCTAGATATTAAGAAGTGTTTGCTGAATATGATGATATCTTCAGAGAATTAAAAGGAAATAATAATAAAATCTACAGGATTCAGCAAAACTTTCATTTATAGTACAAAATCACAAAAAATAAAACCCTCTTTTGGATCAAACCATTAAGCTACCCTAATAGATGTTGCAATTGTAAGTGCCAAATAGGACAGAGTAACAGAAACATTTATATTAATTGACTTAAAAAGATGTCGCTGCTCTCATTTTTCGATAAACTGCCACAAGTTAACAACCTTGTAACATGTTAGACAGACATGTCATTGACCTTAAATAAGGCAATGCCTCCTTCTAATCGCATAGATGTTTCATTGTGTAACCAGTCAAATTGTTATTTATCATTAAAGAGATAAACTAAGGTAGCCAAAGAGAAGATATGAGTGTTGACACAAGTATTTTGAAGTGCTTTGTTATATCTCAACAAAAGAAACGGGTAGAGGATACTGGAATCACATAATGTAAACATAATTTTTTCCACAGGGTAATTATTCTGTGGAATCACAATTTCAGTTCAATCCACAAGTAGAGTTGCACAGATTTCTTTGATTGCCAATATATTGTACATGCACTTTAAGTAAGCAGTGACTAATTTCCATGGAAGATCTGACCACATACCGGTATATAGCATAAATTAATCCCATGCAAAAAAAGTATATCTACAGAAGTTTTCGTCCTGAAGATTTTTTTCTTTAGACCCTTGTAAGTAAGGCCAATTGGTAATGTTATGTATCAGATGAAAAACTGCACTAAGTATGATGAAAATGATCACTGTTAACAATATATTAAGGCTGTCTTTAAATGGGCATTTTAGCTTGCCTGAGTCATTTGGGTGACCTACTGCTATCCATTGTTAGCTCCCAAGCTGAAAGCTCAAGTGAGCTTTTCTGATCACATTTGAAAGCATAGGATGTTTGATAAAATATCTTGAATACTTTCTTTGAATGACTGAGTGGACTTAACACCCCATTTTAGGTATTTTTGTGATTCCCCTACCAAGCTGTAAATGCAGTGAATTCAAAATATTTTACAAGCATAGCAAGATCTATATATACTTACTAGTAATGATATTATAAGGTTACATCTCCCAACTTATTTGATACTCAAGAGAATGCTCTGAGTACAATCAATTTTAAAACTGAGGCATGCTACTGACAGATAAGTTGATGTTACAGGGATTTCAACAACCTTGTTTTTAGCAAATACAACCTATCATTGGGTCATATTTTGGCTGACTTCATACCAATTGTTAGGCCTTTGTTTTTATTCTGAATTTGACTACGGAATGTTCTGTCTACCTGATCAATACTATAGTAGCTTTATTGTACTATAATGAAGAAATAATATAAAATATATAAATTAACAATACTTAGGCAATAAAACACAATGGCAAATGTATGAGGAAAAACTTGTATATCTGTCACTGCTGGCACGAGAATTGATTACAATTTACACCATACCGATCCCGATGTACATTTATATTAAGATTTAAAGTTACTACTACAATACATAGGGCCCACTGAGGGTGTGACAGGCCAACAGAGGATGCTTACTCCTCCTAGGCACCTGATCCCACCTCTGGAATTTCCATGGGTCCGTGTTTTATGCCCTCTTCACAGAAATGAATTGTTTATAGACTTTTTTAGATCGATTACTGCTCCTTATCTTTACCTCTTTCATTCACACAGTCATAACAATGGAAGCGATAAGTTTGTTTTGAACATGTTTTTTTGTAAATTAAGTATAAGCGCACATTTGTCAGCCCATCTCCTTTAAATATGACATAATTTTGTTCAATATACAACTGTAGTTTTCTTAAGAACAGCTGACAAATATGCACGGACTTTGTATTCAGATGACGGAAAAAGCGTGACTCTGATTATGATATTCAAAAAATCTTCATGCCTTTGATATTTATTTGCAATTTATGGGTTTTTTTACTCTTAAGTTCCCCATTCTTTAGCTAAACACAAATTTGAAGTCAAGGTAAAAACTGTGCCATTGAATAGCTCAAATAAAATCAGTTCACATAAGCAAATAAAATTTATAAACATTAGGTAATCAAAGATTACAAAGCTCACCTCGACGAATGTTATCTATAAGTAAGGCAAATCTTGCATCATATTTTTTTTCTAGTTAGTGTACATTCCAAGATCAATATCCATGCAAGTTTGGATTAAGTAGGACTTATAGTTATACTTGCTCCAAAAATTTTTAACCTGTTTACTAATCAAGAAAATTTTGGTCAGTTCCAACATCCAAAGCAAGTCTGGAAGTTTTCATCCTTAGATGCATCATCTATGCAAGTTTATTCATAACAGGCCATAATATTATTTAGCTACTCCAAAAACATTACTCTGGTCACTCATCTGAAAAATGTATGGTCAGACTCAGAATTGAAAGCAAGTGTTGTAGTGTCCATCCCTAGATACCTCATCCATGCTAATTTGGTTAAAATATGGCTAAAATTCCCTCATGTGGAAAATCTAGGTCAGAATCTAGCATCCAAAACAAGTGTGGTAGTGTCCATCCCTAAATGCATCATTCATGCAAGTTTGGTCCAGGTAGGGCATAGTTAATTGGGAATGGATCTGCTCAAAAAACTTTAATCTGGTCACTCATCTGGAAAATCTAGGCCAGATCCAGCATCCGAAGCAAGTGTGGTAGTGTCCATCCCTAGATGCATCATTGATGCAAGTTTGGTCCAGGTAGGGTTTATAGTTACTTGGGAATGGACTTGCTCTTAAAACTTTAACTGGGACGCCAACACCGACGCCAGGGGTATAGCATTTAAGCTCATCTGGACTTCATCGAGGTGAGCTAAAAATGTAGAGTTTCTTTGAATTTTAGTTAAATACAAATTTCAAGTCAAGGTCAAAGGAAAGGTCAAGGTAAAAAATGTTGATGCAGCACAATAGCTCTCATCAATATATATTAGCATATGAAGTTTGATAAAATATTTTCAATAGTTTCTTTGAAACTGAGCTAAACACAAATTTAAGAAAATTAAATTCAAGGTCAAAGGAAAGGTAAAACAACATTAATGAAGTTGTCAATGAATAGTTCTCACCTGTATGTATTAGCATATAAGGTTTGATAAAAATATCTTGAAGAGTTTCTTTGCAACTGAGCTAAACACTAAATTAAGACAAGATGACCATGGGCCACAACGCTCACCTGAGCACTGTGGCTAGGAAAAAAGCAAAAATCAGTTCAGTATTGAAAAGCTTAAATGCATAAGTGGTCCCAACCTACCCCTAAAAGGGGGTGGGGGTGGGGGGAGGTATGATTTGAAAAAAATTAAATCCACACTAACTAAGGATGGTTACACATTTCTTTGACTAACTGTGGCTTCTTTTCCTACAAGTTTAAACTTTCATTGTGGCCCCACCCTACCCCCAGGGGTCATGATTTGAACAAATTTGAATCTACACTATCTGAGGATAAATATGACCAATCATGGCTTTGCTGTTCTTGAAAAGATTTTTCCTATTTATTCCTACTTTGATTGTCCATTGTGGCCCCACCGTACCCCTTGGGGTCATGATTTGAACAAACTTGAATCTACACTACCTGAGGATGCTTCCATATAAATATGACCGATCATAGCTTTGCTGTTCTTGAGAAGAAGATTTTTCCTATATATTTCTATGTAAAACTTGGATCCTCCATTGTGGCCCCACCCTACCCCCAGGGGTCATGATTTGAACAAACTTGAATCTACACTACCTTACGATGATTCCACTTGAGTTTCATCTTTCCTGGCCCAGTGGTTCTTGAGAAGAAGATTTTTAAATGATGCCATTAAATTTTCTTTATTTCGTAATTATTTCCCCTTGGTAGAGGGCATGGCCCCTTCATTTGAACAAATTTGAATCCCCTTCACCAAAGGATACTCTGTGCCAAGTTTGGTTGAAATTGAGAAGAAGATGAAATTGTGAAAAGTTAACGACGACAACAACGACAGACAACGGACAAATTTTGATCAGAAAAGCTCACTTGAACCTTCGGCTCAGGTGAGCTAAAAAGTGAGGTCATGATTAAAGGGAAGGTCAAGGTCAAAAAATGTT